TTATCTTCTTTCCCCTCTCACCCCACCACCCCGGTGTGTACGGAAAGACGATAGGTGAAGGAAAGGTCGAAGGAAGGACAACCTTGGCAAGCATACCCTCGAATAAATTAAAAATACAAATGGTTTTTCCGCGCAACCACTAATCGTCGTTTACCTATAGCCAACCAAATCTAAGAAATACCTTTTGACGTTTCACATTACTCACACGATTTAAAATAACCTTTTACGTAAAACCGATGAATTATGAAGTTATCTATATTTCATTACAACATGTATAGTATTTTATCACTAATTTAAATTTGAATCTTTCAAACAAAGCAAAATATTAAAAAATAACCGGTTTTAACTTTTTTTACTTGACGTCGTTTCAATGATATGTCGCCATGTACATTACCGTAGTGTTTGGATGATTAGAATTCATTGTTATGCGAATAATCGGCAAAATATTCAAATAATCGGTAAAAATATTCAAATAATCATTAATTTTTTAATGTATTATTTGTTTAATTTAATTTCTATTTTCAAAATTCTTGAATCGTGAAGAAAACAAGTTTATTTTTATTACTTTGTCAAAGTAAATTTGTGTAGACAAAAATTTCATGTACAAGGCCGTGCTAAAATAACCACTACATAATTTCAATATCCCACCGTTTCGGTACCAGTTACTCGACTCCACAGAGTCAGTAATTCATTCTTGGTGCGATGTATACGCTTTATCAACAAAATCTCAGAAAATATACAAAATTTGACGTAAGTACACAAAGTTCAAAAACTTTATTAAACTGAGCTTTTATAAAAAGGGTTGGATGATAATAACCCCTGGAAAAGGTGATCGCTACCAAGCTATTTCTAATTTGTTTTGTGTTGTTAATTGTAACACGTATGATTGTAAGCTCTTTTTTTTAAACTTATCCCGTTGGGTTTCTTACTGGTTCTACCCAGGACAGAGGTTTTTTTTGTGAACTAGTGGTAAATGAAAAAACTGACTTTCAATAAGTATTATTCATAAACTGTATTGACAAAAGAAGTTTCTGTTTCAGTTGCACTGTGCGTAATTTTGTGATTTTGTGTTTGTCTTCTTATTTTGTGAGTTGGCTTTAACTTTTTGGACTTTTTCTTCTATATTCGCTGAAGCATGTGCCAATGTCACAAAGGATGATTGGGTAAAAGTGGTAGAAAAAACGAAAAATTGATTATGGATGACTTTGAAGGAGACATTAATTTTGACTGCATTATTGAAAATTAAATAATAATTAATATAAACAACGACATCTCTACTAGTTGTACTGAAAGTGATTGAATAAATTTATTTTTAATCTAATTTCGATCTTAAATCTGTGCCTCTAGAAATAAGAATTAAAAACAAATAAGAAGAAACTGATAAATCAGTGTTTTAAATTATCCGTTTTTAATTTATTCTGGTATTATTCAAACCAAACTATAAATGATTACCAACTATAAATAATCGATATCAATTTTTTTAACGTTCCCATTTTTCGGTTGACATGCTTGGTGCAATAAGTCTGACAGCTGTCAAAATGTATTTCTTATAGCTCCTCTACACGATAGGCCATCGCGATGGCCCACTACGATGGGCCAGCGTGAGGAGGGTGCAGTGGTGTCGGGTGGCTTATGGCACGTGCGATGGTCCTGGGGATATCGGCGGTGTCGGTTTTTCGGCCGCAGATCAAAGGTAGTGGGCCAGCGATGGCAGTACGCATCTACACGTGGCCTATCCTTTCCACAGTTATGTGCGCTCGACGATTGAGTGTGGAAGTTCGTGCTTTGTTTATTAATTAAAGTGATGTGGGCGCCAAAAAATATTTTTCACGCTTTATAGGTGCGCAGAAAAGCAATTCTACAAATCCACATTTTTTTAGATTGATTATGAAAGTTAAAGATTTTGCTTAGTGAGTTATGTTGGTCAAAACATGATTGATACATTTTGGCTCGATAGAAAAAGATCGCAAAATCACCTCAAATCTACAATTTTAGGTACGCCCACTTAGTGAAAAAGCTGTTTCATTTGAATGTAATGAAATCAATTTCAATTAAATTCAGGCTATGTGTTTACCAGTAAATACGTGAGTGGTTTATTTTTCAATAAAAGAGTATATATAATTTTAAAAAGAAATATCAAATACATATTGTGCGATTAAATAGCGCGCGGACCGACCAAACAGCCGCCAGTCGCACCTATAAAGGGAAAAATCTGCTTTTGGCACCCACCACCTTAAAAAAATTTTAACAAAAATACAATAAATTAGGCTATGTGTTTACCAGAATCGTGATGGTTTATTTTTCAATAAAAGAGTATATATAATTTTAAAAAGAAATATCAAATACATATTGTGCGATTAAATAGCTCGCGGACCGACCAAACAGCCGCCAGTCGCACCTATAAAGCGGGAAAAATCTGCTTTTGGCACCCACCTCACCTTAACGAATTTAAAATGACAAATATGTGGCCTCGAAATGAAGTTATAAATTTTTAATCATAGGGATACTAAAATTAGATCATATACACGATTAATTTTTATTTATTCATTTTTAATAATTAATTAATAATTATTTATTAAATTATTTATTATAATTATTTAATTATTTTTGTTTAAAGAAAACTAAATTGATTTCGGGCATATTAGTTCTATTGCGATGCATAGATATCATTCACCATCTTCTTCTACGCCATTTCTTTTTGATAACTATAAAATCTTGTGCACAATAAGAAAATAACGAGACGTGTTGTATAGATATATTGCCGCATCGGCTAATTCTTACACGCCCATCTCGTAAAACGTTTCGATCACAACTTAACGTCGCCATTGTATAGTTGCGTTTCAACCACAGCGATGGCCGTCATCTCGCTGGGCCAGTGCTGGCCCATCTTGTAGAGGAGCTATTAGATTTGGTTGACTATAGTTGTTCCTTTTATTTATTTTTTATTTGCCATGCTATTATTTTGAGTTTTGACTAAAACATGCATTTAATTTTAAAACATTGAACAAATTTGTTAAATTTCCGTTAAAATATTGTAGCCTCGTTTCAAATTCATGTAAACTTATCCGTAATCTATAATTAATTATTATTGTTGGTATTTTCAATTTAACGTGATAATATTTATAAAAAAAATAAAACTTCATTACCAGCTAAAATCGTTCACCACCGGGACCATGATTAGTTATCTATGGTAGTGAATGTTACGGTTGTGAAATTTGCTAAGATTTTTTAAATTTATATTATAAAAATCTAATAATTTGAATCAAGAACATAAATACGATACATAAAATTATATATATTATGACACTGCATTATAATAAAAGATAAAATATTATACCTCACTTGAATAATTAACGGATCGGTGAGGAACTATATTTCGGCAAAAGTACCAAAATTGATAATGATATAGGACAAACTAAAAGATCAATAAAAACCCGCGTTAAAGAACATATAGCTGATGTGAAGAATCGACGCTCCTGGAAGTCTGCAGTCTGTGAACACGTACAGGATCGCCCCCGTCACTACATCAGATTTGATAGACCGCAAATCCTCGCTAAAGAACACCGATTCCTTCCAAGGATGATTCGCGAGGCTATTGAAATCAAAAAACATCCTAATTTCAATAGAGAAGATGGCTGGGTGCTACCATCTGCTTGAGATCCTATAATAAATAAAATTAAATCCCAACCCAAGCATACAACTGCAAGACTTCAAGATACCATAAGTTCATACTGCATAGATCGGAACAAAAGTTAAATTTTAATCTATGGTGACCGCGGTTAACTATGACATATGGACGTTGATCTCAGTCCCGCCCGTGACCATGAGTGCTGTAAAGCGTTCGAAACGTCGGGTATTTAAAAAGTTAAATATACGCGATAAATTCCGTAAAAACTTATTTCAATGCACTATGTAGTTTGATTTATGTACTAATTAACAAAAATAATTTGAATATACATGGCCAAACAATTCTGTATTTTAAAGTTCGGCACAATATTTTTGCACGTTTTAAAGAACTACCTATCTAGCTGTCAACCTTATTGGGTTGACATAACACTTGAGGGGTTATATCAAGTTTTCGTGAGATTTTGTCGGCAGTTTAATCCAGTGAAAATTTAATGACGAAAAGAACTCTAGGCCTTTAAGAGGATTGTAAACAAAGACCAGAAAAGACAAAGAAAATAGCGAAGAATTTTGTAAAGATGGCTATATGGTAAGGCAGATAGCCAAAGGTACGATACCATGCCTTTGGCTATCTGCCATTTGGATAGCTTTGGCTAAGCCAAAAATAAATATTAAAATATGATATTCTGCTTGATTTCATTAAAATTTTATAAAGTCGGTTTGATGCTCTTGTTTTATCGTTTAAAAGTCCAAACTAAGGCTAAAGCTTGGACTTGATTTTAATACGTAAATGTGGTGTGATTAGTACTTTTATTGTAATATAAATATTTTTTGTCCGCTTAGGAGCCTTGAGATGTTATCGTTATCAACTATCCACTTAGTAAAGCTGTCGTCAAAATCTCCCAAGACCTTTCCAATGTGACACATCAGTATATAAAGAAGAATTTTTTGAACATTTACAAATAAATCTGACTAGGCTGTATGGTATTAAATTTTTGCCTGTCTTAATTGGTGAATCGTAATTACAACAACATTGTCTATGGCGCTGAATTATTATGCATATTTATATTAGCTTGCTACATATTTATTTATCTATGATTTATGTTCAGTAATCTATGATTACATGTCATTATCCGCTGTCAACCATTATCAATTATAAAACAGCTGTTAACTGTTAAGTAGAATATTATTTTGTTACTCGTTGATTTTGCAAAAATGCTTAATATGTAAGATTTATTGCACTCCATAGTTTGTTGATTTATTGTAAATTGTGATACTTAATGCTCGATAACATTTTTGAGTTTTGGTTATATATAAAATTACCATAAATAATATAGTATTATTATTTATTATAGTTATACGTGCTTAAAGTAAATATGGATAAGTGTGATAACACCTCCGTGCAAGGAAACAAAGGTATTAATTACCAGTAGATATTAAGTAAAAACGCTTGCAATAACAATCTTTGATTTCATGATACTATTGTTAATTTTTAGTTTCTTATGATCCAGGCTGGAACGACCCGCCTAAGTTTTCATACAATGCACAACAGACTACACCGAATCGTCCACGCAACTTTCTTAACAAACGAGTTGCTTTTCCTCTGTCAGGCACTGGATCGACTACAGCATCCGTTCCATCGGTAAATTTACCTCCTATGCCTGTGGCCTTGCCTACAATATCTACACATAGTAAACAAAATAATTGCAAAAATGTACCTGACGATATTATTATAATTGATAGTGAAAGTACTCTTACAGAAGTGAAAGATATATTTGTGAAATTAATTGATAGCGGGGAATTAGGCTCTAAGGCAAATGATATCAGAAAAAGAATTGATGTAATGGAAGATATGTGGTTGAAAGGAAAATTAAATTCAAAAATACAAACAGAGATGAAAGAACTAGCATATGGTAGGTGAAAATCTTTTTAAATTGAATTATGTACATTATGTGCATTTCACTTATAGTCTATTTTATAGCTCTCCGTGATGACCAGCCGAGCAAAGCAGATGAAATCCATAAATCACTAATGGTGGATCATGTTAGTGCAGTATGTACTTGGATGTCCGGAGTCAAACAACTCATTTATCATTGCATAGCTCGTTCTGAATTACTGGATATAGACAAACAAGAAAGTGACAAAGTCAATACAGAATAAAAACCATTGAACTGTATGAAATTGTTAACATTAGTCATAATTCTATAGACATGAATGTGATAAAATCCTAATTATATAAATATTAATTAGTAGTTTACATCTTTTAGTACAGGTGTCATGATTTTGTTATTTCATTGCAAGTATTAATGACTATTTACAATTTATAATTTTTTTTTTGTTTGCATTAATTTGTGTATATCTTATTAACATGATATATGAATGTGCTAAATTATATTTAAATTAAGGCTAATTATAAATAGATAAAATATTTCTAAGCAGTGATATGGAAATTTTACAAAACTTAAGTGAGTGTATATTATAAAACATATGTACATAAATAAAGATGCTTCCTATTACTGTTTATTTGTTTCTAATGTCAAAATAAAACTTCCCATTGCAGACATAGGTTGAACCTCATCTGCTTGCAATTGTATATTTCTATTGATACATTGAAATAAAAATGAACATGTATCGTCGAATTTTTATAGTTTTCGTCAAGTAACTGATACACTCTTAACTGTATCAATCACAGGGTAAAAAACGTTCATTTTAAACAATTCTTTAGGATCAGTTGGTGTCTCCCCTAGGACTTCGTACACAAATAAAATTTTCTATTTTCGGGATTGGGCTGGCTTAAAAATTGGATCTATCTGTTATTAGAGCAGATGAAAAGGCTGTTTCAAAATTCTGACAAAATGTTCATACAACACGAAACCTTTGGTAAATCCATAGATTCAGACTGCATAGCCTTTTTAACAGCTATGCAGGTCCAGAAAGACCAGTATCACTGCAACCTAAACGATCTATTGTGATTGCTGCTATGGCTATAGTTCACTGCTAAACCCTATGTCTTCAATGAATAGGAGTTGCTTTGCTGTAAGCAATTTTACTTCTTCTGGGCAAAGTATATAGTTTCCCAGATGTGTTACGTTTGCATATTAAGGGATCACAATCAGTCAGGACATGCAGAGGCGTTTCTTCTGTTAAGGTACAAAACCTGCATATCCTTTAGTTGCTTAGTCCCAGGATGGCCATGTGCTTTTTAAGACAAAAGTATCCAGTCTTGGCTTTTGCCAGAATGCGCAGTTTATTTTTGCTTAATCCTAGGGCTTCTGAAGCGAATTTACGATTAAAAGCGCGGATTAAGGTTTTAAAATGTTTTTAAGCCTGGGGTATCAGACCAGGTCTTAAGTGATTTATAAACAATTTTTTTTATTTTACAAAGAATTTCGAGGGTCAATCAGGCTAGGCTTTTTGAGATTCTACAAAATGGCTCAGTACCAAACTGTGTGCTCTTTATACCCTCCTATGCGAGCTCATGGGCATGTTAATTGCCTATAATACCCGCGTGGCACAGAACCCATCTTAAAACGACCTTGTTGTTACATCCCAAGGCGTTTAGATGGTTCACGCAGTCTCCAACTCGCTTCGAGTTCACTAAGTTTTATCTCAGCGCCAGCAGTGCAGCTTGACTAGCAGAGTTTATATAGATGATATGATTGACGTAGTATTTTTGCTGATTGATTTCCGCACACTGAAGTATGACGAAAATTTCTGCCTGGAAGATGAGGTGAAACTACTCAAACTCGTAAAGTTTGGACTTGGGTCATTCCCCATATATTCCAAAGCTTACGTCGAGGCCCATTTTTGATACATCGGAGTTCCGTATAAGGCTACCGACCTCACAGATAACCTGTACGTTCAGCCAGTCTTCTCTGGAGGGTAGTTCCACTATATATTAAAAATAATGTCCTCCAGACCGAATTTCGGCCACGGTGGCCTGCCTCAGCGGAGGCTAGCCATCGGCGCAGGACAGGATTATAGTGCCCAAGCACAATGTATGCGCAAGCACAGGTGCACTCTATTCCCTCACTCTCATAATCCAATGGGACGGTAAACCGACACGAGAGGATTAACGGCTTTACGTGCTTTCCGAGACACGGGGGTGAGACACAGCCAAATTCCTGACTCCGGGCAACTACTGAGAATTTCTTGACGGAAAAACAATAATTAGTTTTTTTTTGGCCCGACCCGGGATTCGAACCCAGGACCTCATGATCAGCAGTCGTTCTACTTGACCCGCGGTCTTTTACCACTAGACCGACGAGGCAGTCAACGAAAGTCAAAAAAGTCAGTTCCACTATATACTTTTTATTAAAAGTGTATAGTGAACGTATGATATCTGTGATCATGCATAAGACTCGTGTTTCCTTAATGGAGTCGAGGATGGATCTCAATTTTTAGGAAAGCAAGCGCAGGCCGCCCTGGGCGTTAATCCTATACAAACTAGCCCTCGCCTGGTCTAAATGAAGATGAAAGGGGTTAGGCACAGAAATGCATTAAGAACAGAGCAGTTCCAGGTGATGATCGCATCGCTGTTGCCATTAAGCAGGCAGTCCTTTGTAGACTAGTCTCCGCAGTCGTCTTTTGGTTGGTCTTATTACACCAGACAATGAGGCGTAGGTGATAATCGGCCTCACTATGCTACTGTAGAGCCATAGGATCCTATTGGAACGCAAACCTCAGTTGTTCCCAACCATACGACTGCACGTACCTAATACAATTTTAGCCGTGTGACATACATTACTAAGGTGAGAGTTCCACGTTAGTTTTTGGTCGATTATTACGCATAAATACTTAACTTTTTCGATTATTAAAAGAATCTGGCGTTATTTTGCGGAAATCCATTAAGTATGTTGAAGTTGTAAGTACTTAATTTGCTCATTTTTGCGTAATAAAAAACAATGATGTGTCCTGCACAGTCTGAAGAGCACCAACCTAACCCCTTAACCACCACTCTCAAGTAGACTCTGCGGAGGCTGACGCTATCTTCGTTACCACTAATCCCATCACCACCACTCCTAGCACTCTCTCTGCTCTCCACATGCTGCTATTTATACAACACGTTGATCAGCGAGTTATATAAACAGCAACTGTTTCGGCTCGCCGCTTACTTAGCCTTCAGCCACCGCAGAGACAACTTCACCTGTGAATGCCTCGAAAAGAAGCGAAACACGTATCGTATTATCGAGAGTGATGTGTCGTCTCTAGTGTGGTAGTGTTAGGTGTGGTGGTACTGGGAATGTTGGCTACGGAGATAGCGCATGTTGTTGTATAGGTGCAATTGAGGCGGGTTGGGAGGTACTCTTCAGACTGGGTAGGACACATCATTTTATTTATTTAACACGCCCAGCGCAGTGGCACCGCTCGCTCGCACCGCCCTAGGGCCGCTACTGGCGACACAGCCAATTGCAAGTTAAAAAGATTTCCACTAAATAAATCATTAAAAAATTATAGAAACCATTAATATTTTTAATCAACCCAGGTTGAACAAGCTGCCTCACATCTGCTGTCATTACTTAACTGGTTTTGGACAGAAAAACAAAAAAAAATCATGTATTATTCATATGTTTCACATTGCACCTTAAATTAGAGGAAAATTTTATTTTATTCGAGTACCTATTTGAAATAATTTAGTTTTAAGACAGTTTCCTTAGTTTTTTTTTTGAAGTACCTATTTGATAACTAAGTCCTAAAATAATAATGAATAAAATGAGGTCTTTTTTTGCTAGGTTTTTATGTCACTTGAAATGTATGCAGCATTAAGATTTTCTTCCTTTCTGCCTTTTCCATTCTTAGCTTTCTATAGCGTATATTTTAAACTAACTGAGGTAAGTAATAAATAAAAGGATATCTTAGTTGTAAAAGGTTTATTTTTCAGTTCCATTGAAGAAAATTTACGATCTTCATACTTAAGTCGTATAAAAATAGCAAGTTTTCCAACTTTTTAACAGAACCTCAATATTTAGCAAGTGTAAAGATACTATTTACATGTAACAGGTTCCAAAAAACTATAATATTGATATTTAACGTGTTTTCGTAGATAGTCAAATTACGGGAGGAGAAAGTATTGATAATTTTTTTTATTGAAAATGAATCGATTTACTTGATGAAAGGTCTTTACTTCTAAGCATTTATTCTGTTCGAAAATGGTGAATACAATATTTATAGGCGTCGCAGGACCAGAGATCTCAGTCTGAATTGATTTTTGGTGTTTGATTTGTTGTAACTAGCCATATAAGCACCGCATACATGGATAGGTTGTCTAGTGATTCACTCTGTATTCAAGTGTACATAATAATAATAATGTCCTCCCGATCGAATTTCGGTCACGGCAGCCAGCCTCAACGGAGAATAGCCATAGGCGCAGGACAGGATTATAGTATACAAGTTTATGCGCAAGCATAGGTGCACTCTCTATTCCCTCACTCTAACCCTTAAATGTGAAGTAGGAAAATTATTCCCACATCTTTATATGTGTTCACAAAGGGTCAGGAAGAAATAGTTTCCCACAATCTGTTAAAATAATAAAACTACGTAAAATTGTCTATGATAAAAAAATAGTGTGAATTGGAACGCACCACTTTACGAAATAAAAAAAAAAAACAAAAACCCCGACGTCAACTGTCAAAACATCAGCTGAATGTTAATTTTGTGCGTGTTTGTGAGTTTTTTGGTCGAAAATGTCGAAAAAAAATACCGTAAATATAATTTTCTTACAGATTTGTTCTAATTATGATATTTGCTGTACATTTTATGTAAAAGTTACCTAAATAGTTATTTGGTTCGACTTCCACCTTCCAAAATATATGGGAACTATTTTCCTACTGATTATTACGGAACTACATCTTTGTTTTTTCTTACAGGTGATACTGAGGAGAGAGTTGAAAGATGCACAGATTGAATCGGAATTAAGTAGAATGATGTCCTCCGATGACGAGGAAGATGAGGACGATGAAGAATTTACCTTCGTGAGTGAAAGGCCCAACTTATTTAATAATTTAGATGCAAAGATGAATAAGATTCAATCTTATAGCTACAAAGAACTCTTAGACAATCTTGATGACTGTAATCAGCCAGCGCAATCACTTTCCTCAGCGCAACCATCCTCCCCAGTGCAAGCACCCTCCCCAGTGCAGGAATTTACCATACGTTCTTCACCAGAGAGGAATGTTTCTGAGAAGGATGCAGTTGATGAGCCCATGTCATCTTTTTGAGAGTAATATTCCTGTGGAGGCTGCAGTTAATGAGCCCATGTTACCTTCTGCTCTTGAGGAAGATGTTCGTTCAGAGCCTATGGCTGAAGAGCCCAGACCGCCTCCTATACCTACACTTGCCTATCAACGTAGAGGACCTTCCGATCAACAAAGATTTAGATCCAGTTCAAATTATTTTGATTTATTGAAGAAATCGCGAAAGTGGTCCAATGATTTGTCTAGATTCTCACTCCCCCCAAATTTTGAAAGGCCTTTGACTGTAAACAAGCAATATAACAACCGATCTACTCCATTGTCCTATTTCCGGGATATGTTTCCAGAAGAATTGGTAAATTTGATTGTGAGAAACACAAATATCTATGCAGCTTATAAATGCTTAAGACATTGGAAAGATACAACATATGAAGAAATGAATGCATATTTTGGGCTTATGGTGTTGATATCAATAAACCCAATACCTGATATAAAGATGTACTGGTCTACTGACGAATTTTATAGAAATTCTGTAATTAGTGAAGTCATGCCTTTCAAACGCTTTCAGAAAATCACAGAAAATTTTCACATTGGGTGCGTTTGGCAGAAAAAAGCGCTAGCAAGCGCTTATAAGCGCTAAAATAGTTTTCGGCCAGGACACGATTGCTACTTCAGTAGCGCTGACACAATCCGCCATTTTGCTTATTTAATTTGTTTGTTTTGAAGTAGAGTTTATAAGTTGTTTTGTGCAATATTAGTTTTAAGTAATATATGACATGAATAAACATATACATGCTATTAAAAACTCATGATTGGTAATTTTTTAATATGAATACTTTACAAACATATATTTAAATTAGGTTAGATTCCCCGGTTAAAACTAACATCGTGTCCTGGAGGAAAATAGCTATTTACGATTTAACAGCGCTTACCGCTTACGATCGCCATTTTGCTTACAAGCGCTTGCAAGCGCTTTTTTCTGCCAAACGCACCCATTGATAACATATTAGAAGAAGCTCAACGCGATGACCCGAGCTATGACAAACTGTGTAAAGTACGACCAATAGTGGACGTTCTGAACGAAACCTTTCAACAAAACTGCTCCTCATCTCAAAAGCAATCCATTGACGAGAGTATGATAAAATTTAAAGGCAAATCATCTATGAAACAATACATGCCTAAAAACCGATTAAACGAGGTTATAAATGCTGGTGTCGTTGCGATTCTAAAACTGGGTACCTCTATCAGTTCCAAATTTATACAGGCAAAACAGATAATACAGCTGAAGGAGTAGGGAGTGAGGGATTAGGGTGTAGAGTTGTTTTGGATTTATGTCAAAATGTGTCAGAAGATACTTTCATAGTTTTTGATAATTTTTTTACGAGCCTGCCGTTGCTGGAGATTTTGTATTCAGAGAAGATATATGCTGTAGGAATCATTCGAGCGAACAGGAAGGGATTGCCACCAGAAATTAGCAAGCAAAACAAAGATCTAAAACTGAGTCCTGGTGAGTTCATTTTCAAATATTCCAATCCTATTGCATGCATTAAATGGATGGATACAAAAGATGTATTAGTAAGTACTACAGCGCATAATCCAAGGTCTGTTGAAGTAATACAAAGGACACAGAAGAACGGCTCAAAAAAAGCAATGTTTTATCCAGTTGCTATAAAGAAATATACAGAACACGTGGGAGGAGTCGATCTATTTGATCATTATAGATCATCCTATCCTCTGAGTTGCAAGTCAAGAAAATACTGGCACCGTTTGTTTTGGTTTCTTTTCGAGGCGGCTGTGGTGAACTCATATATTGTTTACCATCAAAACAGTCTAACACACAGAGATTTTCGTCTCCGACTTGGCCTCTACTCATAAACAACTTCCGTGCCAAAAAAAGTGACTGTTCCCCTTTTTAAGAACAAAAAGGGTGGAGTATACGGTGTTCCTGATGAAATCAGACTGCTGAATGTGGGACTACATCTACCTCAAGATAATTTGAAATTCCGCAGATGCCGCTTTTGTTCTACTCGCGTAAAAGAGAAACGCGCCAGATTCATATGCAAAACTTGCAAAGTATGTATTTGCCCCGAATGTTTTGACAACTTTCATAAATAAATATGGTGACATGTAATGAAATGTCTATCACTCTTCCCTACCCAGATGTGGGAATAATATTCATGTTGTATCTCAAAAAAAATTATATTTTTATATGGACAACAGGAAAATAGTTCCCACGTGGTAAAACCCATTAGAGCAATAAATGATAAATATCAAACTCAGAAAATATTATTCTAGACCTCATAATAAGTAAATTTTCCAAAATTCATAACTTTATGATGGTTAGATCACTCACAACCCATTAAGGGCTAATAGCCCGATGGGACGGTAAACCGACACGACCGGAGAGAGATCAGGCGCAGGACCAACGGCTTTACGTGCTTTCCGAGGCAGCGTTGGATGTGATAACAATGTAAGTGTACATACACTTACATTGTTATCACATCCAACGCTGTTGGAAATTTATTGTAGAGACTTACGCATTTAGCTTTGAATGAACGCTATAAAATATAACGGCAGGAGACAAAACACTTCAGTATTTTTTAGCGATTTTCTAAACCCGTTTTCGGTAACGCATTTCGGACGACATGCGTCACGTTAAAAAGAAGCAAATGAGTAAGTTCGGGTTTAAATATTTTAGGGTAATGACAACAAGCTTCTATGGTTTCGTGGTTTTGTAAGTCGCGCTGAAGTTCTTTCCTTTCATAATCATTCTTAGTACGCCTTTGGTCTATATATTATATTCCCCTTTTGATCGGTTTCGGGGCCACGGTGACCCGCACTGGCCGACAAAGCTCCACGAGCGGTGCCGGTTCTCTGGCGCTGGTTTCCTCCACCGCCAGACATATCGATATATCGACGCCACACGGTTCCGTCCACACACCGTGTGATATTAAAACTTTCGTTAGCAGCCGTACGTTCTGTGTACCGTCGTCATCTGAAACAACAAAGCAGGTTTCAATACATTAAGCTATTATGTACTACGTACTGGAGGCGACACTGCATTCAGCTACTCTGTTCCATTCAACTGCGGTGCATACACCGCACTTTAATCAGTCACTCGCTAGGCGCTTGTAGAGTTGTCACGTGTTGTGTTGATTTAAAAAAAATCTTTTGATAAAAATATGCCGTCGTGTGTACTTAGATATTGCACAAATAATTCAAGAAATGTCAGTAAAAACCAAGGAATTACTTATCATCGGTTAATAAGATACTTAATCAATAAAAAAGTATTATAGTTTAATAATAAAACAAATTATTCCTAAGACGCCATCTCGTGTCATGGAATATAGATTATGAAATTAATTTTGTTCAGATGTGACATTTCTGTGGGTGGTACTTAAGTATAGGACGAATATATTATTATACACATTTTTTAGAAACATATATCAGCTATCATAATTAGACCAATTTTTTTATATTTAAATCTGCTCATTATTCTTTTATTGAATTTTTAGATTTCCACATCGAAGTCAAAGCGAAATAAATTCGTCCATTTTTAACTCTCGCGTGCCCAACATTAATGAACGACTCTTATTCTAGTTTAAATAAATATATTTGTAATTTAAATGTTATATTAATAAGTGTTGTTAAACACACATTTATAGTTCGGCCGTTCAGAGAATGCGTTCCTGACACGTCGCGATTGAACTGACGACGTAACTTTGTAATGGCGTTGCAGTTACGATAAAAATATTTTTGCTGGTTGTTTACCGTTTTAACAATTGATGAGCATTAAAACAACATTATTATATTATATTTTTCTAAATCTATACTGGGCTATTACAAGGTTATGTCAGCGCTTTATATTTGTAGTGCTATGCTAACAATAACAGGCAATAACAGTATCGTAATCCGTTCTTATACAGTTATACATACTTTATTAAATAATACGTTTTGTTTTTCTTTTTAAGAATTTGAAAATAATGTACTATAAGATAGCTTTTATTAAATATAAAAATAAAACTACGACCAAACCGGACGCGCGAAAGAAAGTAGCATTTTTACATTTAGATTGAAAATGGTAACCGCAAATGGCGTTATAGGCCGCCATTTTGTGACGCTAAAACAGTCGTCTGTTGTCGTTTCGTGCGCATAGACCACGTTCTTAAAGTGTTTTCGATCTGTTTTTATTTGATTACCCGGCTTTCGTTTAATGGACTGTTTCTGCTTTTCAAACTGACATCGGCGCTAAATCGGACTTCGATTGTGTTTTGTATTGAGTTCTTTTTACTTTTGGTGCATAATAATGCCTAAACGTGGACAAACATTGAAAAGTGGAGCCCGTGAGTTAATCATCAAGCTGCAAGCATCAATTACTTTGAACGGGAGCAGCAAAATGGCGGACCCCTGTTACCGGTCGAACAAGTACAAGAACGCGTCTCTCAGGCGCTTGGAGTTAGCAAACGAACGATAACAATTATTAATAAAGAAATATTAGGCTCTACTGGCACGGAAGATAATATTTTACGTACTCCGAAGAAGAAACGTAGAACTAAACCCGTGATAGATATTGACACCTTTGACGCCGATGCAATCAGAAATCATATATATGGTTACTATTCCAGAAATGAATATCTCAACAGGAAGAAGCTTTTGGCATCGTTAAGGGAAGCTGGACTGTTTATCATTTTGGAGGAACGGTAACGAACTCAGTGTTATGTTGTGCCCATCACTCGTCGTGACTGATAGGTGTCAGGAACGCATTCTCTGAACGGCCGAACTATAGTATGTTTTTTATATATTTGACAAACACCTTTTAAAATATTCAGATAAAAATATCATTAAAATATAATTGTGATATAATATACACAAAAGCAAATATAATATACACAAAATATAAATATATATGCGTAAGTACGCAAATATAATGACAAAATTTAAAAATTGTTCTCGATATAATTTACCTTTATTCTATGACTAAAAAAACCAACCGCGCGGTCACAGAGTAGCGCACATTTTTTGTTAATTTTTTGAAAATAGCTGTTCTAGTACGTAAGTACATGTTACTTCAATATTTGAATTTTAAATTTTCTTTTGCAAACCGTATCTGCCCATAGCTTGACAAAGGCCTTTCCCCATTGTGGAAACGATTTGCCATGATCGTCACATTTGAGTTTGTCCTCCTCTTTTTTTGAAGTCGGTTAAAACGTAGTTGCAGATGACTTTTTTACCATCAAGAAAAAAAGTGAAAAAAAAACCAGATATTTTACAAACATTTTTTCATTAACATATGAAATTGGTCTATTAACAAATACTATTAATTTGAAATAAACTTTCCTTACTAAAAGATAAAAACATAAATTTCAAACTAAATAAATAAATCACTTAAAAACTATCGAAATTCAAATCATACGCATCCTACTTTACGAGCGGCAATAAAACAATGAATTTGTAACGCACTTGCCGCAGCTGTTGCAGGCCTCTTCGTATTTATTATTTCGCAGGGTCGCGAGCGCAAGGGCAAGGCCTATTATTTTAGGGACCTGTGATTAGCTACGGCGTGACGTCGTATTGTTTATGTTTTCACGTGCGTATCGGCCGTCCGCTAATAGTTATCGTAAACATGTAACAAAAATATAATGCTGAGTTAGATTTTGTCTGGTGAAAACTTAGACGGTGCCATGAGTCGGTATTTACAAAGTGCACAAGGAGCACTGTGGAGTTTCCAAAACCCACACAAAATCAAAGAACATGATGTAACGTTTGGGTGGCAATCATTAACGACTACACCATTGGTCCAATATGGATTGAAGGTCGATTGACGGCAGCCAGGTATCTGCAAATTATACGTTCTGTCATCGATACAATGTTGGAAAACATTCTTCTGAGCTATCTGCAAGGAATGTACTTCCTGCACAACGGATGTCTAGCTCATTTCGAACAATTTGTGCGTGCATATCTGGACAGCTTACGAGGGCGACACTGAAAGTTTTTTAGAACTAGCCACTTGTAAACGATATAATAAAAAAATAAGTTCAAATTTTGAAAATGGAACTCTTTGCCAATATTAATTATGTAAGTATTTTATTAATTTGTCACTTGTTTACGAATTGGCGGCAAATTGAAAATTGTCTGTGCCACGTCAGCATGAATTTAACGCGAGAAAATTTTCATACAATGATTTTTTTACGACTTTCATTTCAGTCAACAAGAAAATTATGATAGACTTTGATTGGCCTTTCACGATGAAGCCCCATCTCGTGCCACTGTTTATTTTTATGAAAGTTTGTTATTATGAAAAACACTTAGCACTGCAAGCATTACGACGAGCACCTAAGGCATCTGTAGGTATTCGCCTAACGAAAGAAATGTGCATGCGTCTCGCTCGCGCCTACAACTTTCATTCACTAGCGATTGTAGCCTACACCGCGCTGTTTAAAATAATATCACCTATTTTTAGTTTTACGGAAATGCCATAGTATGAATTGTTTTTGATTTTTGGATATTCGGAAATTTTGCCGGGAACTCGGGGAAAGAGTGACAAAGCAAATTTATATGGCAGATGTGAATGGCAGAGTCGGGAAGGGACGCCCTAGAAAAAAGTTTATCGACCAAATTGGCGATATTTTGAAAATGGGCCACGTTAGAAGTACCCTTAACCGACGAGCATGTATGCGTAGATATATGGATGTAAAGGAGGCGAAAGAGGTATGTCAGGATCGTGCCAAATGGAAGTCTGTAGTCTCTGCCTACCCCTCTGGGTGACAGGCGTGAGTGTTTATGTATGTATGGAAATTTTGCCTGTCAGTTAATATTTTGTTATATGTATTTTAAAAATACTTTCGAGGATAACTTCTATTCCACGTACACAAAACACCATTTTCCAGACGATAAAAAGTCACACAGTATATATTCCCCTACATCATTTCTGCGAGAGTGTTAGGACAAAGAGGTGTGTCCGCCACACTATCTTCTGCGAGTTTCCAGACTATTCGTGTCTTCTAAATAGTATTTAAATATTTAGGATTCTTCGCGCGGCGGAACGAGCGCGTGCACGCGGCGGTCCGGGTAGGCTCGGCATGTCGGTGCGGAGCGGTGATGTCACATACGTACTTGTGTCGAGGCGGTCGAGCGGGCGCAGGTGGTCGCGCGGCGGAACGAGCGCGTGCACGCGGCAGTCCGGATAGGCTCGGCATGTCGGTGCGGAGCGGTGATGTCACGTACGTACTTGTGTCGAAGTGGTCGAGCGGGCGCAGGTGGTCGCGCGGCGGAACGAGCGCGTGCACGCGGCAGTCCGGGTAGGCTCGGCATGTCGGTGCGGAGCGGTGATGTCACGTACGTACTTGTGTCGAGGTGGTCGAGCGGGCGCAGGTGGTCGAGCGGCGGAACGAGCGCATGCACGCGGCGGTCCGGGTAGGCTCGGCATGTCGGTGCGGAGCGCTGACGTCACGTACGTACTTGTGTCGAGGTGGTCGAGCGGGCGCAGGTGGTCGCGCGGCTGCACGAGCGCGTGCACGCGGCGGTCCGGGTAGGCTCGGCGTGTCGGTGCGGTGCGGTGACGTCACGTACGTACTTGTGTCGAGGTGGTGGAGCGGGCGCAGGTGGTCGAGCGGCGGAACGAGCGCGTGCACGCGGCGGTCCGGGTAGGCTCGGCGTGTCGGTGCGGTGCGATGACGTCACGTACGTACTTGTGTCGAGGTGGTGGAGCGGGCGCAGGCGGTCGGGCGGCGGCACGAGCGCGTGCACGCGGCGGTCCGGGTAGGCTCGGAGTGTCGGTGCGGTGCGGTGATGTCACGTACGTACTTGTATCGAGGTGGTCGAGCGGCGGCACGAGCGCGTGCACGTGGCGGTCCGGGTAGGCTCGGCGTGATGGTGCGGTGCGGTGCGGTGACGTCACGTACGTACTTGTGTCGAGGTGGTCGAGCGGGCGCAGGTGGTCGCGCGGCGGCACGAACGCGTGCACGCGGCGGTTCAGGTAGGCTCGGCGTGTCGGTGCGGTGCGGTGACGTCACGTACGTACTTGTGTCGAGGTGGTCGAGCGGGCGCAGGTGGTCGCGCGGCGGCACGAGCGCGTGCACGCGGCGGTCCGGGTAGGCGACGCGCACACGCAGCGCGCCCGGCTCGCGCACTCGCACCACCTCCGCCTCGAGCGCCACGCCAGCGATCAGGCCCGCGCTGAACCGCACCACCGTGTCGTTGTCGTTCGCCGGCTCCAGGATGCTCGCCGAGCACATGCGGATCTGTACGTTGTAATAGATCATTAATGCTGCGAACAGACTGAAGAAAATTTGGACGCAGCGCGTGCATGAACAGAACATGTACTTACTCGCATTTGTGCGCGCTAACATAGCCTCAGTCTACTGAACACGCGCGACGAGAATGACAGTATGACGACCAATTGCTGACTGAGGTCTACTGTCTCAAAAAACACTAAGTCTCGACGTTGGTGGCGTACAGAGTTGTACAGACATAGAGTTTGTGCAGAATAAATACCCGACATGAGATTTCAGCACGTGTTATGTTCGTGTTCGCGCGCGTCTTAACACAACCCGTCCGCACACTGCGCGCCCCTATGTGTTCGTTCAAAAAACTGATAACTCACGGATCGCTTCGCGCGCAACTTGAAATGCTCGTAGGATGCGCATGAAATGCACAGTTCGCGCGCGCAACGATCCACACCACGAAAATTTGTTATAAAAAGTTGCTATGCATGATACATTGCACTAATGTGGACGGTAAATTCCTTAATTTCAAGTTACGTTGCGTAAGTCTGTACGCGGCATAATATGTACTTCGTATTATCTTTTAGTAATACCAAGTACTAACTAAAACAACTCAGAAATTAACCAGCGAAATTATTATAATTTTAACCTTACTTTTATTTGTTTTTTTTTTTATTTGTGTTTGTTAATTGTCACAGTGATACCCAAAAAGAATTATCATGGAAAACATTACTAAGTATTACACAATGACATACGAAATTATATTCAGGTGGACGGGATTCTACAGTAGTTGTTTATAAAAGACGAAAAAGATTGATTCATTCACCATTCAACCTCTAGGCAAAATGTTGAATGATGGATTTCAGTGGACTATTCACCAATTGGCTGCTAGTTCTCGTGTTAAAATTAGATCTTTACCTAGAAATTGCCGTTTCTTTATGACACAAGTTAACATAATTTCATCATCATCATCACTACAGCCCATCACAAGTCCACTGCTGAACATAGGCCTCCCCTAAGCAAAGCCACAAATCACGATCCTGAGCCACCTGCATCTAACGATTTCCTAGCATGTTTTACCAGGTCATCACTCCATATAATGGGGGGTCGCCCTACGCTTCGCATAGCAGTACGAGTCTGTCACTTGAGAACCTGTTTTTCGCATCGGTTGTCGGTTCTTCGGGGCCGGCCCATTGCTACTTCAGCTTACTAGTCCGTTGGGCTATGTCGTTCACTAGTTCTATGGCCTCTCCATAGCTCGCCGAGAGACCTTGAGCGTCTTCATACGGCCAGCAGTGAAGGACAATGTCACAGATTCATAAGTCGTCACTGGCAACACGCCCTGGTTGTACAACCTTGTTTTCAAGTTTTAAGGTATACAGCCGAGGTGAATCCGTCGATTGACCATTGTCGATACTCATCAACAACTTCGAGCTTAGTGCCCCCAACAACTACCGGCATAGGTGTGACATGTACGTTACAAATGATCTATGTTTTGTCCATGTTCATCTTACGACCTATCCGTTGAGGCACAGTTGACGTCATTGAGATCAGACGCTATCTTATAGTCCACATACGCAAGCTTCGGTTCCACAAGGCTTCGATCTTCTGTACAATTTGTCGAAGTATATGTATATGGTCTATGGTACTAAAGCCCATTCGGAAACCCGCTTGTTCGGGAGGCTGCAAGTCGTCGAGTCTGCTAGCGAGACGACTCGTAATCACTCGAAACAGAACGTAGACGCGGCTTAGAAGGAAAATCGGTCCGTAGCTTTTCAAGAGATCATTGTCACCTTTCTTTAAAAACAAGACCACCGCACTTCTGTTCCAAGCCTTCGGAGTAGTGCCACCATGGAGGACGGAATTAAAGAGCTCCGCTGTAATTCTATCCTCGCCAGGGGGTTTGCCATGGGGATATCAACAAAATAGTGTCAGATAAGACTTGTTACTGACACTCGCGTGTGGCTCTAACGATGACATGCACAGCTGCCCATATAACTTCTCAATCTCACTCAACATCTCAGGTGTCCCGGAAACGATGCTGCCACACTTGGTCTTCAGCTTTGGCACTTTCTGGCTGACAGATCTCTGGCAAAGACTTTGGAGCTCTGGTTCCGCTCGATCGCTTCTTCAGTACGAGTTGTATTGAAGTTGCGTAAGTCGCGCCGCATGCGTTTGTAGATCTGTCTCTTCAGTTGCCTTTATCCTGTCAAACTTGCTGAAGACTGCAGCTTCAATTCGCGTCTAACAGTCATGAGATTAAGAGTGTGATCGGAGAGTTTTTGTGTTCTTCTGCGACGAATCTTACAGAACTTAACTCCGACCGCATAGACAGTTTCCACGAGCTTGTCATTCCTATCGTTCACTGTATTGCAGTATATAGGCACTGAAAACGGTTTTGTAATTCGAGCTGAAACTTTTCGGGACTTTGGATTAGAGCAGGAGGGGGACGGAGTGTTGACTTCCTTAGACAGGACCTCTCCAACTTGGTTCAGTGTGCCTCTAACCATTCGGTGATCGCTGCCAGTTCTTAACCATAGGGGAGGCCTATGCTCAGCAGTGGACTTGTGAACGGCTGTAATAATGATGATGATGAAAATAAAATTTATTTGAAATTGTAATTCTTAGCCAAACAAAAAATATTTTAATTTGAAATGGCCAGTACTGCAGAACGACAATTTCATAGTTAAAGACCTATGATGAAAATAAAATTTATTTTAAAATTGGAATTCTTAGCCAAACAAAAAATATTTTGATTTGAAATGGCCAGTACTGCAGAACGACAATTTCATAGTTAAAGACCTATGATGAAAATAAAACTTACTTGAAATTGGAATTCTTAGCCAAACAAAAAAATATTTTTTATTTGAAATGGCCAGTAATGCAGAACGACAATTTCATAGTTAAAGACCTATGATGAAAATAAAATTTATTTGAAATTGGAATTCTTAGCCAAACAAAAAATATTTTGATTTGAAATGGCCAGTACTGCAGAACGACAATTTCATAGTTAAAGACCTATGATGAAAATAAAATTTATTTGAAATTGGAATTCTTAGCCAAACAAAAAATATTTTGATTTGAAATGGCCAGTACTGCAGAACGACAATTTCATAGTTAAAGACCTATTATCGTCTAGAACAGGTAAATGAAATTGTATACTTGGGGAGTGCTTTCAGCCGGGATGGAAGATGTGATTTAGATGTGGATAGGCGCGTCGCTGCCGGAAACAAAGTCAATGGTGCCCTGAATGCATTAGTCAAAAGGCAAGGCGTGGTGAAGAGTGCACGCCTTGCAATACATAACGCAGTGTTGGTACCGACTTTGTTATATGGCAGCGAAACCTGGGTATGCCAGAAGAAGCATAAAAGCAAGTTGAATGCAGTGGAGATGCGATCTCTTCGTAAAATGTGTGGCGTTACCACAGCCAATCGAAAGCGAAACGAAGAGATTCGCAATATGGCAGGATTGAAAGATGACCTTATCACAAAAATTGATAGGGGCGTGCCCAAACTCCAATGGTTTGGGCACGTTGAGCGAATGAGTGAAGACCGAATGGTGAAGAAAATATATAGAGCGAAAGTAAATATTAAAAGGTGTCGAGGTAGACCGAGACTAACTTTCGAAGACCATGTGAGCAAATTGCTCGAAGAGGGGAAGGTCAAGAGTACTCGGATACCTAGACGTGCATGTATGAAGAAGTTAATGAACCTGAAAGAAGCGAATAAGGTATGTAAGGATCGTGACACTTGGCGATCTGTTCTCTCTGGCCCCGTTAGGGATTGTGCGTGAAGATAAGTAAGTAAGTAAGTAAGTAAAGACCTATTATTAATTTTCTAAGTGACCACACCATATAATTCATAACAATTTAAATTCAAATAAATATTCATTTAATATATTTTAGTTTCATTTCTACACAACCTGTACAACACTCTTTAAAACCCAAAACGATGCTTATTGTATTTGACAGTTGGATGCAATTGCAATGGAAACAATTGCAAGACTAGTTAGTGTTAACTCACGTGCACGCACACACAATATATACAGCAACGCCTAGCACGTATAACAAAAACTCGCTAGACTAGCTGTACATTTTTCAATGTAATTAACCTTTTGACCGCTTGTGTTGCATTAATGCGACACATGTTGCCGTACCCCTACAGCACGTGTCGTATTTCTGCGACAGAGAACATGCATGATTTTTACGTTCTATTTTCGTCCTATTAACTGCGTGGTACAACTAAAACCATTATTAAATTGAGATGTTATTTACAACAATTACTTAAAATTATGTCTCGTAGCTCTAAGTATTGAAAAAGCTTAATCAAAAATAAGTAACTGGCAGCTTGGACTTTTCCCTGGTGTCTATCGCGCGCGTCGCATATATATGGGGATGGGATACAATGCAATGCGCATTTTTAAAATAATAACAAACAGTTAAATAATCAGGTATAATGCATCATTCAGCATAAAATAAATAATGTCATACGAAATAAAGTTAATTTAACATATTACCTTGTGTTATTAATTCTTTTCCTTATTATTCATAAGAAAAATATCCCTCAGGCCTTTGTATAATGACAACATTTGACGTTAGTTCCCATCCCTAGACGGCTATGTTTGCAACACATTTCTCTAGTTAGTCTAGCGTGGCTGTCGTATTAAATACAACCAATGTCTACGTCACAAGCGGATTAAACGAATGGAAATATCCATTAATGTTGTTCACTTTTTTTAGAATATTTCTTATTTTTTAATATTTTAGAATTAATATTTTAGAATATTTTTTGTATTATATTTTATAATATTTTCTAGAAATTTCAACAACACCGAGTGAGAGAGGTGACAACGCTCTCACCGAATACCAGCGTGAAACAGAAGCCTAATGTTGCTTTGTTTCGTATGGTGAGTGTAGAGAACCGAAGACCCATTTTACTAGAAACAAGACATTCCATCTTACCATATTAGTCCTCAAGGGTGACAACGTATCTGTATTTTAATTCTTAATTGAGTTTATCCTCAATATGTAGATGTCTATGGGCCACAGTATCCACTTACCATCGGGTGGACTGTGTGCTCGTTTGTCACCCTATATATTTTATCGATTTGTAGCGCGCTAGGGGCATTTAGCCAAGCGAAGCGCTTAAAAGATTAAAGAACACGACCCGTTATTATATAGTACGGTGTCCCAAAATACTATATTTCAAAATATATATTGCTCGAAATAATAATTAACTATTGAGAATTAAAAATGAAGAGGTTTATCTCTGGACTGATTTTATTACGAGGAAAGTAGTTGTTAATAGTGTTGCGCGCCACAGTTGATGTCTGGTACATGGCACTAGTGCCATCTATTATTGAATAGAAGAACTAAGCTTTCTATAAAACTCCACACTCGAATTTTCTACACCTAGTCCGTCGGGACCGGAACATTTCCTGGAACATTCTAGATGTTTCGGTGGAAAAGGCCTATATAAAGCCGTTTGCGCCGCGACCAGGGCAGTATTGAATTGGCGATATGAACGAAGCTTTCGGAGCGAAATAAAGTGAACTAAAGTGTTAAGTGTGATTAATTACTAGTGTGATTTAAGTTTTAATTGGTGTTCGGTAATTAAAGTGTCAATTTTAGTAATTCAATCGGCAGTTTTTATTGTTACGAACCCTAAGCTCGTAACAATAGCATAAGTACTTATTAATAAATCGTTTAAGATCCCTTAAAAGTTTTTTGTTTTACCGGCTTACCAAAAATACCCGATAATATCAAAAGATAAGTAGTATTTAGGTAGGTGTTAATTAGATACTCGACCGGTTGACTAATCGCTCGCAAATATCGATATTATGACGGAATATCCCTCTTTGTTGTAGGTATCTATTTTTTTGATTCACTGCCGGGCGCTGGGGGCACGACAACTGATTTGAATTCGGGCGGTTAATGGGTTAATTTAACAGTTTGAAAATGAAACAAACCTTGAGATTGGGTTTAGGTATGGTCGGTAGTGGCGCAGCCTGCAGTAGAGGCATCAGAGCCCGCGCTAAGGATGCCGGCTTGTGTTCGCTGCCCGACAACAACTGGAATACTGCGATGGTGAATGGGTCCGGTTCCACACCTAAAACAACGTATAGTGGTTTAACAAACTTTTAAAGAAAGAAGTTACACTCTTGGATGTAGTACGAGGGAAAGGCCCTCGGAATAATACACAATCAATAGTCGCACACGGTTCTGTTTTTACTAACACCTTGTAAAAATAACACCTCGTAGTATGTGAACGAGTTGGCACCTGTAAATAGTATGGGCAAGAGTAATTGCAATTTTATATGCTGATTTACCATTTGTTCAGCGAAAAATGGGAACAGTCGAGTAAGCTATATCTGCGTGGATTTATAATTGACTTATAAATTAAGCGTGAAAGAAGAGAAGGCTTTGTGCGACTGTGTTTCAGATGAGAGAAACAAAATTCATATATTTTCAATATTATTATTCACATATTATCATAAATTCTTCGATTATCAGTCCTTTGAAATCTTTTTTTTTTTTTTTTTTTTTTTTATAGGCTAGGGTGACAAACGAGCACACAGTCCACCTGATGGTAAGTGGTTGCTGTGGCCCATAGACATCTACATCTATCCTCGATTACAAATCAAAATGCAGATGCGTTGTCACCAGTGAGGACTAAGATGGAATGCCTCGTTTCCAGTAAAAAGGGTCTCCGGTTCTCTACACTCACCATACGAAATACAGCAGCATTAAGCTACTATTTCACGCTGGTATTCTGTGAGAGCGTGGTCCTTCCCCGGTCGAGCCGACCCATTCGTGCTACAGCTATACTACTAATATAACTGCAGCATGGCTCTACCACGTAAAAAATCTCTCGTCCTATATACATACTCTAATTCTGTTCCACCACTAACCTCCATATAATATACTAGTACGCCGGACTGGCTATACCCTACAAAACGTTTGTGACGATTTGAAGCGCTGCCATCGAGTGTGACGGGAACTAAATTTAACATAATTTGCAAATGGCCGTTGTTTTGCTCAACACGTCTAAGAACATTTTAAAGTTTTAGACGAGAAAAAGAGTGTGTGTTTTGTAATTCAGTTATGGTTCATGTCGAATGTGCATGAGAAGGACCCAGTAGGGACTGAATAAATTAACCGACTTGGTATTACATGGATCTCACAACTTTTTACGGTAGAAGAACTGAGTTGCGAGACTTGGTTTTATTTACAAGTTATGTTTTTGATGGCATAATGTTTTTAATGAGTCAAAGGTATCCGAAATTAGGATTTTTCAAACCTTTAAAAATTCCACTGCTGCGAAAATATTAACTTTATCGTAATAAGTCACGACTTTTTAAAGAACTGTACATTTTTTTAAATTATCGGTTAAGAATATTATTAATGATTGAAAAAAAAGAATATAATATATTATATTCTTTTTTTTAATTTATTTTTTATTCGTATTTCATTAAAGGATACAAAAAATGTCCCGTTTGCAAATAACAATCCCTTGCAATTGCAACAAAAAACGGTTTAAACAATATGGCACCGAGTTGCCCCATTAGCAACATGCATTTATATTATTGCGCGCCATAATTAATGCCGATGCTATCTAGTATCGAGTAGCAGAACTAGGAGAGCTTTCTAGAAAATTCCATACTAGAACTTTCTACACCTAGTCGGTCGGGACCGGTATGTACTCGAACATTCTAGATGTTTCAGTAGAAGTGGCCGTATATAAGGCCGGTAAGGACAGCGGTCGAGTCAGTATTGAATTGGCGATACAAGCGAATACTTCGAAGCGATACAATGTATTATTAGTGTGTTTTAAGTTGTAATTGGTGTTTGTGTGTAAAAGTGACAATTTTGGTAATTCAATCGGCAGTTTTTATTGTCACGAACCCCAAGCTCGTAACAATATCATCAGTAGAACAATTTGAAGAGATTTGCATAAAAAATTGAGTTGGAACAGTTTTCGGTACTTATGTGCAGATTCCTCCCGCACTATTAAAGACAGAAAGAAGAAATATCTTCATAGTTCCGTAGTCGGAAAAATAAGTCTTACATAGTTTTATATTTTATTATAGTTATGTTCTACTTGAATTATAAAATGGAATCAAATAAATGACATTCAAGTTATATGACGAAGAAGTTTAAAATGATGTAAACTTTCCAACTGCACATAAATAGAACGTAAAGCGTTAAAGACTTTACCGGCAGACGCTAGAAGTCTATCCAACATCTCGGCGTGATGAGTGAGGGCGGCAGCGGCGGACATTGCAGCCGTAGTGGTAGCGGTGGTACCCGTGCCAGTGGCCGTAGCCGTGGCAACCGCGTCAGGAGCGCATAAGCGAGCTGCTGCCACGCGAAGTGCCAGTTGCCCCACACACGCACTCTCTTGTTCTGACACGCCGCTGAACTGATGTTGGAGTCTGGATATGAAATTAGGTTATAATTGTGACAAATACATAAACTACTTGAAGAAATAATGTAGAAGAAGAGAAGAGGAAGGGCAGAAGGGGTGCGATAAAGTAGGTAGAGGAGAAACAGAAGCAGCTGGCTTTAGTGATATTACTTTAATTTACCGTGATGGTATACTTCCGTTGAATATGGGATTATTAAAACTTGTGTAACCGTTCACACGTATATTTTACTAATAACTTAACACCTGCACTTCTCACCTACTCTTGCTACTTAATAGTATATTTAGGAACTGTGAAAAGTGAACTTCTTTAGATGTTGTATGGGATAAAAATTGTAACAGGCAACAAAAGTAGTGTCTTAATAGATTTATCTTGCTTGATCCCGCATTCACCTTGCTTACGTAGTATTAGGGTACATTTTTTCCGTCTGACTGCGATTATAATATTTTTTTAAAGGATAGGGTGACAAACGAGCAGACAGTCCAACTGATCGTAAGTGGTTGTTGTGACCCATAGACATCTACATCCATCATCGATTACGAATCTAAATGCAGATGCGTTGTCACCCGTTAGGAAACGAGACATTCCATCTTACCCTTACAGGTGACAACGCATCTACATTTAAATTCGTAATCGAGGATAGGTGTACACATCTATGGGCTACAGTAACCACTTACCAAATCTGCAAAACATCTGCGGACAAGATCGCACCACAACTCAACTTGTTTTTTATTTTTTTTTCATATAATGAATGTGAAGGATGTGCGATTGCATAAGGAGCGAAGCCATTAGTGGCGTACTCGCCTCAGGCAGTCGGCGGTGAGGTCGGCGAGCGCGTGCGGCGGTGGGCCGGCGTGGGCGAGCAGTGCGTCGTGCAGCGCGCGCACACAGCCCGCGAACAGCGCCGTGAACTGCGCCGCGCCGCACACCAGCGGCTCCATCTCCGACAGCCTGCATCATACATCAACACATACTATAAAACAAATTCGCTTTCCGCACTCTTTATAAGTAAAATAAAAGTAAAGTTACAGCCTATATACGTCCCACTGCTGAGGACAGGCCTCCCCTCATTTCTGAGAGGCCCCAATGCGTGTTGGCGAACTTCACATGTCTTCGAAATATTTTTTTCTTATTCCTCAGACATACAGGTTTTCTCACGATGTTTTCCTTCACCGCCGAGCACGTGGTAAATCAGCACTTAAAATTGCAATTAACAATTTCATTGGTGCTGGCGGGGATCGAACCCGGGTTACTCGCGTTCTGTTATATTTACAGCGAACGTTAACCATCTGAGCTACCACGGCTCTTACCCTCTTTATGCTTACATCTTTTAAAGCAGTAGCGGATTCTGATGCGGTTTTCATCAATAGACAGAATAATTACATAGGTAGGTTTGTATGTCTTAATTCGAAGCCGGGGCGGATCGCTACTTTACTATAAACTGATGTTAGAATAGATTGAAATTGCAAAAGAGAAACAGCATAATGTACGTGTATATTAGAGAGAGAAAGATAAGCGAGACCATTCACGTACACGCTATACGCCTGTACCGGTCTGGCGTCATTTTTAATGAAACAAATCCCGCTTGTATTTGCAAAATCTCGGGTACTAAAGTGAAAATTACTACGTATGTAGTATATAAATATAACTCACCTCAGAAAGAAAACCCTCATTATTATTATTATACCCTCATTATTATTATATAACCCGTAAGTACGATTGAAATGTTAAGATGTCTAAATGCTGTGTTCTAGAGTAGGTCCAATAATATGTACACCAATGGAAGGGAAAAATTATCACATTTTAAAATATTATTGATCTGAAATAATTACAAATTCGAGAAATCCTGCTAATTTTAACCTCATTTTTATAGAGATTGACAGTATCTATATATCATCTTATCGATACGTCCCACCTGGCAAAGGTTTACATATACATACATAAACAGGCTTATTCAACTTCGTAATATTCCTTTTTAAATTTTTAGGATTCCGTATCTAAATACTCGTAATCATAAATCATAAACCTTCACGCCTGTCACTCACAGGGGTAGGCAGAGACTACAGACTTCCATTTAGCGGGATCCTACGCTACCTTACGCATACATGCTCGTCGATTAAAGGTACTCTTAATTTGGAAATATATCGCCAATTTAGTTCCTTATCATATCTCCCATCCCTCCTGAATATATATCCCAAAAATACAAACTCATCTACTTGCTCGACCAACTCCCCTTCTATTCTTATTTCACATATCGTTTTACTTTCTTCTCTTTCAAAAAGCGTAACTTCCGTCTTACTTGCATTCATTTTCTTTTCTTTTACTCTTTCAAAAAGCCTAACTTCCGGCCTACTTGCACCTGTTCATTAATGTAACCATCATTTGCAACTCGGCCGCCGACGATGCAAATATGACTTGATCATCTGCTTACAAAAGGCATTTGACGGTTAACTCACCCATTCTTAATCCGCGTTCTTCAACTTTCAAATTTCGAAAACTGTCCATAAATAGGTTGAACAGACACTTTATGGATGACAAACCAGTCCGAATAGGCTCCGTTGATCCCAACATAAGCACTAGAATCCCTATAAAAAAACTTTAATGCCTGTGACGACCCAGCGCTCAACCCAAATGAGTTCAGCGTTTGCACACATCCCTGTCCACTGTGTCATAAGCCTTTTCAAGTCCATGGACGCACAAAAAACTCGCGATCATGCGCATGGAAAAGACTTGGTCCGTGCATCCCATTCCCTTTCTAAAGCCGCTTGTGCATACCAAATCTTTCTTTCTTTCATGACCCTTTCAATTAATACCTTAGCATACAGTTTTCCCACGATGCTAAGAAGACTAATACCACGGTAGTTTTTACAGTCCCGCTGCGACCCTTTTCTTTTTTGTATTGGGACTATCACGGCTTTGCACCAATCTCCCGGTACCCGCTTCAGTTCCCAGCATAAATTAAACAAGGTGTACAGCAGAATTGCCACCATTTCCTCTCCAACCCTCAGCATTTCGAGTGATACTCTATCATGTCCGTCTGTATTACCTACTTTCATATTTTTCATTGCTTTAATTATTTCATCTATACTTATCTCCCTATCTCATTCGTCTTCTTTCGGAATTTCTTTTTCATTTAGTTTACACGTCTCCTCACTCATACGAGGGGTGATCCAAAAGTAATGATAATCAGTTACTTCAGGTCCGCATAAAAATTCAAAAAAAATATTTTTTGCTTGCTTATATACTCACTACGTCAACCTAAAAAAATCATATAAATAGATCACGATTTCCGGGAGATACATTCACTTGAATACGAACTGTCAAAGAGATAACATCAACATGGAGAAAAACGAAATTAGAGTCGTCATCAACTAACTCTGTTTGAAAAAAAATGTCTTCAAAAGACATACACAGTGACTTAGTGGAAACATTGGGGGACTCTGCTCCTCCATATTCTACAGTTGCGCGCTGGGCCAAGGAGTTTAAACTGGGCAGAACATCCACTGAAGATGAACACCGCGAAGGACGCCCATCCACGTCCCTCACTGAAGATAACGGGGAAAAAGTCGAAGATGTTGTGTTGGCAGATCGAAGAGTGACCATAAAGCATGTAGCTGAGGTCACAGGGATCTCATATGCAGCGTTCAAAGAATCCTTGCGAACGAATTGCATATAAAAAAGGTCTCTGCGCGTTGGGTACCCAACGAGCAAAAGAAAATGTTAACCGACGAGCAAAAGAAAAATCGAGTTGACATTTCGAGGGTCAATCTCGAAAAGTTCCAAGCAGATCAAGAAAATTTTGTTCCGTTTTGTGACTATGGATGAGACCTGGATCCACCATTTTGATCCTGAAACGAAACAACAATCGATGACTTGGAAGCGAGCCTCCTCACCGACGCCAAAGAAATTCAAAGTTTCAAGTTCGGCGGGAAAGGTTATGGCATCTGTTTTTTGGGACGTTCAAGGCATAATTATAGTGGAATATTTGGAAAAGGGAGCCACTATTACGGGCTCTTACTACGCAGACCAAATAAGAAGGGATTACGGGAGGCCATTAAGGAAAAAAGACGCGGCAAACTGCGAGCTGGAGTGCTGTTTCACCAAGACAACACACCGGCTTACAAAGCCGCAGTTGCGATGGCTGCCATTCAAGAAACGTGATTCGAACTGCTCGAACACCCTCCCTATTCGCAGATAAAGAACTACAGAAACCGAAAACAAGGAGGGAAAAAAAAAGGAAAAATCTTTTGAAAAAAAAAAAAAAAAAGAGGATAAAAAAAAAAAAAAAATTTTTTTTTTTATCATTTTTTTCTCCACCCCCAAATACCCAAACCAACCCGAGAAAAAAATTTTTTTACAAGTTTCCAGAACATTTTAATATTTGCCTGAAAGTTATCCGATATTCTTCTATCATTTTATCCGTTCTTTCTTGCCTTTTCCCAACTACTCTCTTAATTTGACGTCTAAAAACTGTCTTTTTTCTTTTAATATCATCATTCGCCAGAATTACCAGCCTTGTTTGTTAGTAAATCTAGCCATATCTTCTTTTTTTACTTCCATACGTACCTCATCATCCCACCATAACGTATTACTTTTCTTTTTGATTCGTTCTCTTACTAACACCACATACTTCGGTAGCTGCATCCAACAAACCTTTCTTAAAATTATGCCATTTATTCTCCAAGTCTAACTCATTCATTCACAATTCATCGAGACCACCTATATTTTGTCTCAGTTTACATTTGTACTTGTCTTTCACATCTTCATCTTTTAACTTCTCTGTTCTTATACGCTGTATCCCAGTGGTAGACACAGATGTCCGATGCCATCAACGTCTGAATAGACTATTTATTCGGCATAAGACCAAGTAATTATCCGTCCCTACTTTGGACCCCCGGTAAACCCTTGTATCTACCACTGCGCTCCTCATTCTTTCATCCACAATTATGAAAACTATCATGTTTCTATCAACAGCTCTTTCCCACGTATATACATGTGAATCTTATTATGACGAAAGTGTAAGTCACAAAAAGATACTTTTCCACACATACGGTGAGGAGGCTTTCACCATTTTCATTTATACTTTTATCACCAAACGTTCCCAATATCCTTTCATAACTAAGCGTCTAAACCCCAACCCTCCCATTGAAATTTCCTAACGAAACAATATTTTTATTTCCTTTACATTTCTTGAAACTGCTCTCGGATATAACTGGGATTTTAGACATGTCTGGGGCGTAGACCCCTAGAACAAACAACTTCTTTAAGCCCACTTTCATTCGTATCCATAGCAGTCTCGGGCTTACACATTCATACTATTTCACACATTGACCCATTCTTTTTGAAAGGATGATTCCGACTACCTGACATACCCGCTCGGTCTCGTCTACACCAGACCAGTACGCGGTATACATGCCATATGTAGAGACTTCCTTTCCCTTCCGTTTCGACTCATTTACACATAACACATCTATTTCTCTATCATACACCATATCGCATACTTTATCCATCTTATCATTTATTGCTCCATATACATTCAGCGTAGCTAGACGGGCTTCCGCAATTCACTTTTCGCCCCTCCGGGAGACAGAACGTGACAGGTGGCGAAGCTCGTCGCCGGTTTTCCTCCTGGAGATTCTTCGCACCCCTACCCCATTAAAGGGCGTCGGGAAACGGGGCCATTTCTTTACTTTTTTTTTGCCTCATGGCGCGAAACTAGGGGGTGGTATATTTTATATCGCTACCACACGGCGATGAGCCGAGTCTGTTCTTTCGGCTTTGTCGCAGGTTTAGCACCATCCGGGGGATACGTGTAGAGTGAGCCTAGAATTAAGTGATCGAAGCCTATAGTCGCGAGCGACTTATCCTGCAGTGTTTTATTATTTTCGCCTTTTGAAACAACCAGTGAATGATTTAAAATATTTGATTCATTTGATTCTCTTAAGCCACCACTATACAGCACATCAATTGGATACAAGCCCTTCCAACAATGTGCCAATAGCTGCCAAATACCTCCATAACTTATGTTGTAACCTCTGTTACGTAATCGTTTGAATATATGAATCTTTTAATAATGAAAATAAAAATATATATAGCAAAATATATTCATATGAAGAAAAACACTGTTAATTGTGATAATGGAGAAGATAACCATTTTTTGTTTTATATGCCAAAAAATTTTACAAGAAATTACCAAAATAACTGTGTTTTTAATTTTTTTCTATCTCCAAAACTGACCGAGATATAAAGGCGCAAAGTTAATATTTTCGGCCTAAGCCGCGGGCCGAGAGAGACATCGTTGATGACGTCACGATTTCCATCTTCGTGCGAGCGACCCGACGCGCCTTTAGAAAATCAAAACATCTATTCAAATGCTCCCGTCGCGCGCGGATCTACTTGCTATTTTTAACAAGAAACGTTATAGAACATGACACCATCTATTAAATATTGTGCTGTGTCTCAATGTAAAAATACGGCCACAAAAACACCAGAAAAGTTGTTTTTTAATGTGCCTAGAAACCCTACCATCAGAAAAAAATGGACAAATGTTATGAGAAGAGCACATCCTTTAGGACCAAACACGGTAGCATATTGTTGTGAGGATCATTTAAGTATTCAAATAATAATAACCTTCACTTTATAGGTCTTGGTTAGTGCTAGTAAATGCTTTCTATTATGCATGTACCTACTCGAATCGCAGTGTTTAAGTAACTAACGATTCATTGAACCTTTCCACGCTTAATGATCATTATAATTTCAAGAAGAAACAATACCTAATACTAATACCTACATATTTAACTAAAACTACTTCAGTGTAAATAAACATCCAAAGTTGGGTAAAGTACTTACCTTTGTAATGTAGATAATAAGTCAATGACCTGTCGTGAGTTCGTGAGTTTAGATACCTACCTATGTTTGCAGCAAATTTTAAAATGTTTATAATGCATATAAAGGTTAAAATAATGTTAACAAACGTTTTTATATTTTTACGATATTTCGAGCAAAAACTAAACACATCGCAGAGCTGTTCTACTTGCATACTTTGCGGGCCGCAAATAATGGAACAAGTTTGATTATGTAGTGGAGCACTTAAATTTTTTTTTCGTGTTGTCCTATTTTTATGTATTACATAGTTGGTACATATTTTAAATATTGATGGAATACAAATTACGAGGTTCCTTATTTTTTATAGACTTTAAATAAGTTTGTATTTTGTTCTAGGTCGAAAACGATATGGAAAACTACGTGAAGTACAAACTAGTTGGTGGTCCTCTCAAACTTAAAAAAGATGTTTTGCCTCACAAGTTTGCTTGTCAAAATCGGTATACAGAAAAACCACAAAGATGTTTAGTATCAAAACTAAATGCCAAATCTAGGTCAGAAACAGTTGCAAATGCGATTGCCAATACTTCACAAGAAATTGAGCATAGATATTTTGTCGATCCTGTTACTACTCTAGATGATAATATTGACATTGATCCCTTGCCTGAAGAATATATAACTACGCTTTTAATCATAATAATAATGCGACCCTTTTTCTATTAATATTGAAAACATCTGATTTTTAGATAAAATCATATTTTACATCGAAGTTATATTTGTATTTTGTAGTAAATTTCTTTATAAACAACAGGAAATTTTTTAACCATAAAAACCACAAAAAGGTCAGGGCGCACTTAAGAAGAATAAGAAAACAAAACTAGTTAGAGGCAGATAGTAAGTAGATAGGTAAGGAATGTTTACGTATTTTTGTTATAGCTATTCTTATCATTAGCAAATGAAACCCAGAAGTATTAATGTAATAATGGGTACCTAGGTTATAAAAATATTATCTTATTCTTATGCGTATTTCAGCCGCGACAAAATCTTTGTTTCTTAGAAAATATTCCGCCACCATCATGTCACGGACTATTCGAAGGTTGTCAGATTGACCCTTTTCAAACCCTTCATCCATCATTAAATATACTTAAAAACACCAGAGCGAACGAGGGCAAACAACTCACCCGCGAAATATTACTACAAATGTATGATTGGCGCGCTGGAACGATATGGCGGCGCGGCCGCATGGAAATGATGACGTCACGCGCTACTCGCGGGCACGGGCGAGACTTTAAAAATGTACGTAAACTTTTCACGCTTATAACTTCGGTAATAGAATTATGTGTTTGGTCTAGACTTTTTACCTACGTACTTAAAAGTCTAATATTGTAACCTTGTTATCTTCTCCATCAAGACAAAAGTGAAAAAATCTTCCATAGATGGAATGACTTCATTCACACCAAATATTCCAGACCTATCGATGTGTAATAAAAACTAGAATTATGTGTTTGGTCTAGACTTTTTACCTACGTACTTAAAAGTCTAATATTGTAACCTTGTTATCTTCTCCATTGTTAATCACAAGTAAATTGTGACAAGAGGTGACTATAAAAGTGAGAGAATGATTTCTTTCCATAGATGGAAGTTTGACCATGTCATTCACAACAAAATAAAATTTCCAGACCGAAGACTCAACGTCAAAGGTGCAAGATACCTAGAACTGCGATCGTCCATACGCCTGCCAAGCTTGACAATCAAGGCAAACCTTGGCTACAACTTGAGTGGGCCTATATCCAGCAGTGGACTTTTACCGGCTGATGAAAATGAACCCTATTATTAGTTAATCTTTGAATATATAAATGAAAAAATAAAAAATAGAAATTAGTACAACTTTTTATATTATATAATAAATCACCTCGTCCAGTTTAACACAGTTCTATTGAATAGGACCGATAATCATCTTTTTATAAAAAACCATAGTCAATGTTTATTATATACTATTACTGTTTAACAGTGGCACATTACAATTTCAACAAACAATGTCTATACCCACAGTCTATAGACCCAAGATATTTCTTACGGTTATGTCGAGCAACTCTCATATAGTAATCAAAGAAATAAATTAAAAATGACATTACTTGTTCAGCTGTTCTTCAGCAGCGCGCAGCATCTTGAGCCTCACGTTAGAGGACAGTGTAACGTTATCAATGTGCTGCAGCACGGAGTCGAAGAAACGACGCACAGCACTGTCGTCTATCGCTGTCTCGCTCCTCTCCGAGCGTGAAAACTGGGATTCTCCTATACAACAATACAATAAAATTTTAACCGATACATCCGTACATGTTTATCGATGTGTCAAAACATATGTGGGTTTTTGGGTCTGGTCGAAATGTGTTTATTTTTTCTTATACCTAACTAACCTCAATAAGCGTTAGGTGAATAAATAGGTTATTACAAGTTAATACATTTCTGCTTGCGCTTACACTTGTGGGCTCTTTAATATCATTTGCGTAATTGATTGATTTAGTCAGTGTTTTTGATAAACTAAAAACTTTTAGCTTCATAATATTGCGTTGCAACAGCTTCATATGCGATATAAATCTGGGTCCGGGTGCAATTCGTTCTGAGATCACTCCTCTCATTTAGTTTCTTATTCTAAGTTGCTTTTTTTAAAGCTATTGAAGTGTCAGAGATAGGAATAAAAAATATTACTAGATGAGGGTAGAAATCGAAACCACGCCAGTGTGGGAAAGGGGATGGGGACTAGGACAAAGTTATTAAATCCGGATCTTAAGGTGAAATGGGCTGGCACCCACTTCACCTTCAAAGCAGATTTTCACGCTTTATAGGTGCGCAGAAAATAAATTTTTGTCATTAAAAATTACGAATTTACATTTTTTTTAAATTCATTATGAAAGCTAAAGATTTTTCTTAGTGAATTATGGTGGCCAAAACACGATTGACACATATTGGCTCGATAGAAAAAGATCGCAACGTTTCCTCAAAATTTACGATTTTAGTACGTCCACTAAGTGAAAAAGCAGTTCCATTTGAATGTAATGAAATCAATTTCAATTAAATTCAGGCTATGTGTTCACCAGCAAATACGTGTGATAATATATATAAATATAATATATATAATATATATTTATAGATCCTGGAGCTGGAAGATGAAATAGACAAGTTGCGCTGGGGTATTATAGGATTATCCGAGGTCCGAAGAGAGGGGGAGGACACGATAATTCTCGAATCCGGGAACTTCTATCACCGGGAGCGTGACCATCTGTCCCAAGGAGGTGTCGGTTTTATCGTCCACAAGTCTCTCGTTAACAACTTGTAAAGATTGGGAGTGTGTCGATGAAGATTGCGTACCTCATACTCAGAATCACCAAACTGTATTCGCCGAAGGTTTACGCGCCAACCTCAGCACATCCCGATGAGGAGGTAGAGGAAATGTATGAGGATATCTCTAGAGCCATACATTCCTTCAAAACCCACTATACGGTGTTAATGGGAGACTTCAACGCAAAACTAGGCACAAGAGAGAACGGTGAGCTGAAAGTAGAGAAATTCGGAATAGGGCAACGAAACCCTAGGGGCCAGCAGCTGGCCGACTTTATGGGGAAAGAGGGACTCTTTATGATGAACTCTTTCTTCCAAAAGCGGCCCCACAGAAAGTGGATCTAGTCGAGCCCCGAAGGTTCGACAAAAATGAGATCAGACTTCATTATGACGACCAGACGACAACTGTTCAGTGATGTCTCAGTGATCGCAAGGGTGAAAACTGGCAGCGACCACCGAATGGTGAGAGACACACTGAACCTAAACGTTAAGTTGGAGAGGTCACATCTCATGAAGTCAACGCTGTGTCCCCCTCGTGTTCTAATCCAAAGACTAGGTAAGTCCTACTTCGACCGAGAGGTCAATCGACGGATTCAACTTGGCTGGGCAGCGTTCGGGAGATTGCGACACATCTTCTCGTCAGGCATACCTCAAAATCTCAAAACTCGATGGTACAACCAGTGCGTTTCGGCCAGTGATTGACCTATGGATCTGAGACGTGGTCCTTCACTGCTGGCCGTATGAGGAAGCTCAAGGTCGCTCAGCGAGCTATGGAGAGGGCTATGCTCGGAATTACTCTGCGTGATAAATTTAGGAATGAGGTTATCCGCAGTAGAAACAGAGTAACCGACATAGTCCAACGGATAAGTAACTTGGAAGTGGCAATGGGCCGGCCATATAGCTCGAAGAACCGACAGCCGATGGGGAAAAAAGGTTCTCGAGTGGCAGCCTCGGTAGGCGTAGTGTAGGGCGACCTCCCACTAGATGGAGTGATGACCTGGCAAGACATGCAATAAATCGATGGATGCAGGTGGCTCAGGACCGTGCTTTGTGGCATTCTTTGGGGGAGGCCTATGTATGTGATATATATATCGTCGATATTTATAAATCGCGATATATCGATATTCAATATTTATCGTGGAGTATCGAATTCGTATTAATTTCGATATATTTTAAAATGTTGTATTAATCGATAAAACATTAAGCAACAAAAACATTCTTTTCTCGTTGTCGTTTTTTTTCGTCATCCAACCGTCCAGTAATATCATTTTGATACTTATATAATACCTTATTGTACTTATTGTATTATGCTAAACATGACGATATATCGATATTCATCACGTGAATATATCGACACTGTTTTAAAATATCGGTGCAATATATATCGACATAGTTTTTCACTTGCCCATCCCTACTCCCTACTCGCTATTGCCACATGAGTAGATAAACGTTAAACGGAATATTGCTAGCAGCTAGACGGACACGCGAGCGACCCCGCGCGCAGATCGCCATCGCTTAAAACCTACGTGACCACGATACCATTTCGCCTTAATTCTGATCTCGTAAAGCTGACCTGTATGTATTAAATTGTCATAAGCAGAGTCACTGTTGGCCTAATCTTTTTTGGTATTATCATGACATCTATCATGTAACACTACTGTACTGTATTTTCTACAGTTCCAAAGAGTGAGCGGTTTAGTTTTACCCTCACTTCTTTTTATCTCTTTATTTTTCTACCTACCTTGGAGACTATTTCTTCTTCTTAAGATATTATGTGAACATAAAGTTTACTATCGTGCGCATATTTAGATGCAGTAATCTTTTTAAAAACAGAATGATTGGACTCTATGGACATTAAAACATAATGGTACTTATATAAAATTTGATCTAACAAATATCCATAATAACTATTTTCTATTGAGAAGTAAGTAAGACAGAATTTAAATATCATAAAGTAACTAAGTCTGGATTATTTAATAAATTCTTCAGAAAAATTGGATTTTTTTCAAGTACAGTTGTGTCACAAGTTCGTGGACACTATCCTTACAGTATTTTTTTTTTTGTATAGGATAAGGGTAACAAACGAGCACAGAGTCCACCTGATGGTAAGTGGTTGCTGTAGCGCATAGACATCTACATCTATCTTCGATTACGAATTAAAATGCAGATGCATTGTAAACTGAGGACCAAGATGGAATGCCTCGTTTCCAGTAAAAAAAGGTCTCCGGTTCTCTACACTCACCATACGAAACAGCGTTAAGCTGCTATTTTATGTCCCCACTGTAGATGGCAGAAAATAATACAAAATAACTCACCAATAGGCAAATGCGGTACTAAGTGCGGCATAGTGTCGCGCAAGTATGTGTAGTGCTTAATTGTGTGCTCCTCAAACAATGGCAGCATTGTGGTGCAGTGTTGCGCTGCGTTCAATACCAGGATCAATATGCACATATCTATGTTGCAGTTAAGAATAAATTGTCTTCAGCATGATTATATATAAAAGGACTAACACATTTGTGTTATTTACATTGTTATAACAATAGGAAAATCTCATCTTTTTCAATAGGTGGTTTTATAACCACCTTATTTACTCAGTGCATATTTATGTAGTATAGTAATTTTCCTAGCTTATAACGGGGCTATATAAGACTATAATATATAAAATGTATGGATTAATTGTCTGTTTCTTTATTCTTTTTTGACCAACTTACCAACAGTTTTGAAATAGATTACGCCAAAATAATTTAACAATTAAACAAAATGTTTTATAAAAAGGATACATGCAGGGTCCTCCACATCGGGTTCGGGCATATCAAAGAATGGATGTACGGCGAGCAAGCGCGTTGTTAGAGGCAGTACTAGGGAAGCGTGAGAGCTGCCCATTCGCTGCACACATCGGAATGTAGACCTTTTGTCCTGCAGACAAGAATTCATTTTTAGAAATATAAAAACATAACATCATCATCATTACAGCGCTTCACAAGTAAACTGCTGAACACAGGAAATAACAAAAGAGTAAGCTATAAAATATTAGAAATTTAAGTTAAAGTAAAATTGTTTGATGTTTTAAATGTGGTAGAGCCATGCTGCAGTTATATTAGTAGTATAGTTGTAGCACGAATGGGTCGGCTCGACCGGCGAAGGACCACACTCTCACAGAATACCGGCGTCAAATAGTAGCTTAAGGCCTGCTGTGTTTCGTATGGTGAGTGTAGAGAACTGGAGTTCCTTTTTACAGGAAACGAGGCATTCCGTCTTAGTCCTCAGGGGTGGCAACGCATCTGCATTTTGATTTGTATTCGAGGATAGATGTAGATGTCTATGGGCCACAGCAATCACTTAACAACAGGTGGACTGTGTACTCGTTTGTCACCCTTATTGTATAAAAAAAGTTATGATAGTGACATAAAAGAATCAATAACTCCATTTTATTACCTAGATATCGTAATACGCAACTATAGATAAGGTTAGAAAGATCTTAAAGCCTTCGATATATGGCGATATTACTACCTCGTATATAGCGGATGCAAAATATCCAACCAGCAACAGGGTGCAGCCATATATTTGACAAATACTTCCTACAATGGAAGAGATCTATGTCCACCGGTGGACTGTGAGTGGTTGATAAAGATGAAGAGGAGAGTACAGGTAAAGGCCTAACCATCCATTCATCAGCCTATAGAAGTGAGCCTACTCGTGTTTAGGTAATGGTACAACAGGCAAGTGGAGCCGTGGTTGCTCAGATGGTTAACGCTATAAATATCACGAGTAACCCGGGTTCGATCCCCGCCGGCACCTATGAAATTGTTGATTGCAATTAAAGTGCTGATTTACTACGTCCTCGGCGGTGAAGGAAATCAAGAGGAAACCTGCATGTCTAAGAAAAAATATTTCGGAGACATGTGGAGTCCGTCAACACGCATTAGGGCAGCGTGGCGGACACGTTCTTGCTCTAAAACTTTCTCAGAAATGAGGAGAGGCCTGTGCCCAGCAGTGGGAAATATATGATATATAATGTCAAATTATTGTTCACCTTATACACTTGTAATGATTAGATTATAATATGATATTTGTTTTTAGAAAATATTAACCTGAGGATATCTCTTAAGGTTTTCCAATATTTTGTCTATACACATTTCAAGACACGTTTTTGAAGCCACAGTACATGAACCCAGCATCCTGTGAAGGCCTTCTCTTACGTCCATTGAAAAGTCCTGAAAAAAAAGCAGTAACTGGTAAATATTTATACAATCAGGGCACTATTTACTCTTACTTTATTATTAATTTATGAGTTAATCAAGAACTTGACAAAAATCAAATTAGTGCCTCTTCATTTGTAATATGTACATTTTTTATAGAATCAGGATGACAAACGAACATACAGTCCACCTGATGATAAGTAGATGCCGTGGCCCATAAAATCTACATCTATCCTTGATTATGAATCCAATGCATTGTCACCCTTCTTGTCATATTTAGAGAATTTTCTTAAGCAAATATTTAAATAGAATATACACGAAAACACATCAAATAAAAAAGTAAAGGCAATAGATATTAAGGAAAGATTTGCATTAGATCATAGTTTAAAAAACATTAATACCTCTAGAGCTCCTAAAATTATCTCCAACTGATCCTCTCTCAGTATTATGTGGTGTGAGATTTTCGTAAGACTGTCGATGGCCCTTAGTCGTACGTCCTCAATTTCGTCATTGAACATGTCTACGAGGAAGTCGAGTGACGTGATCGCGAATATCGGGTTCTCCATCGAAAGCTGGCAGACTGCGTCTACTGCCGCCGTACGCACCTCTGTAATTTTGATTTAATATTACGTAATATTATAAAGTTGTGGCCTGAGATGACCAGCTCATGCCCCTTACTACTTAACCCTTCAATCCCCATAAAATTTTCATGCAGTCGCCTGGTAAAACTCGAGCGGTCGCATGCGACCTCACCCACCCACAGCACTTAAAACCATTAAAACTTATATTTAGAGACTACTTTTCCATGAAGAAGTTTGACATTATAAAATCTATACAAAATTTTCTATCCTGTGGTCTAAACAAAAGTCAGGTTTTACTTCATTACAAAATTACTTTATTGTATTTTGATAACAAAAAACGGGTACATATCAAGCGGATGTTGGCAGCGTGAAAATCACAATTATTTCTATATATTACTCGATATTATTTACGTAAAAACATAAATTATATTCACATAAAAACTTTCATTACAATTTTATAATAAAACACTATAGTAAAACACTAATAAAACACTAGAAAAATCCAAAAATCAACAAAACAACATCCAAATGAAAATGGCTTACGTAATGAACATAGAATATAAATTAATATCCATAGATTAACTGCTTCTTTATTACACTAGAGCTAGAGGATAGAAAATTTCATATCGATTCTATAATGCCAAACCTCTTCATAGAAAAGTAGTCTCTAAACATAAGTATTTATGGGTTAAAGGTTTTGCTGTGGGTAGGTGCGGTCAAATTTGACCTCTTGAATTTTGACGGAATGTCGAAGCGGTCAAATTTGGACGCTTGGTGTTTAAGAAGTTAACAAGAGGTGATCTAGTGACCGATAAAATTTGGGGAATAGATCACATGTATCAATCACTGTGTTCGAATTTAGAAACTACCAACATACAATGATTCTCGTAATTTTCACTGATTATAAGTTTTTGGTTTCGGGCGCATGGAACGTATCAAATAGTTTTAGACGCGATTATGTGGTGATCGCTTTGTTCGTTCGCATCGATACATATGAGTAAAATTAAAGCGGCTTCTATTAATCTCATGGGGCTATTAGAATATTAAGATATAAATAATCATTTTAAAAGCTTGAACTTATTTGTCTGGGATAATTTTCAGAATAGCTGTGATGAAATTTAATGAACAGATAGAGAGCCATATCCAGAGCAGATACCAGGAGGGAAAGCTTTAAATTATGATAAAAAATTTAAATATATTTTTGGTATTTATTTTTCAAAAAACCAAAAATTGATAAAATAAATGGCCACACTAGACAGCGCAAAAAGAATGGATATAAAAATTCTCAACCTCATATTATCCGACCAGTCCAGTGTCATAAAAAGTAACAGATGGAAACTAAAACAGGAGATGAGCAGCGGCACCTTCCTTATAAATATTCAACATAATAATAAAAACATGTGTAGTTCACACGCGGTAGAATTGAAACCTTCAGAAAAAGAAAACAAAATTATAAGAAAACACTGTATTTTGCATTCTATTTCATTCGCTCACAGGCTAAATCCTATAGATTTATATGTCTATCTCCTTTTAGTGTCGCTTTTTCGTTTCATCGAGTTTCAAATCATAACAATTTTAAACAAGTCTTTACGTGGTAGAGCCATGCTGCAGTTTATATATATTAGTAGTATAGTTGTAGCACGAATGGGTCGGCTCAACCGGGGAAGGATCACGCTCTCACAGAATACCAGCGTCAAATAGTAGCTTAATTCAGCTGTGTTTTGTATGGTGAGTGTAGAGAACCGGAGACCCTTTTTACGGGAAACGATGCATTCCATCTTAGTCCTCACGGGTGACAACGCATCTGCATTTTGATTCGTAATCGAGTATAGATGTAGATGTCTAAGGGCCGCAGCAACCACTTACCATCAGGTGGACTGTGTGCTCGTTTGTCATCTTATAGTATAAAAAAAAATTTAAAAGAAAAACAACAATTGTCAACCCGCTTGTCAAGCATACCAACTATAGCAAATATCCAAAAAGAAGAAATAAATAAAAAAGTAGTGACCCATGAGCTCGTCCTCCAGGCCGTGCACGAAGGCGCCGGCGGCGCCGCCGGGTAGCAGCTGCACGCTGTGCTGCTCCACCAGCTGGCCGGGCGCGTCGTCCGCCCAGCGACGCCCGCTCGCCCACGCGCCCGACCGCACCAACTCCGCACCGCGCTCGTGCAGCGTGCGCTTCTTCTGCAACCGCACGTTCGTCACACTCATTACAACGAACAAACAACATGTGCACCGCCCGCTCGCCCACGCGCCCGACCGCACCAGTTCCACGCCGCGCTCGTGCAGCGTGATCTTTTTCTGCAACCGCACGTCCGTCACACTCATTACAACGAACAAACAACATGTGCACCGCCCGCTCGCCCACGCGCTCGACCGCACCAGCTCCGCGCCGCGCTCGTGCAGCGTGCGCTTCTTCTGCAACCGCACGTTCGTCACACTCATTACAACGAACAAACAACATGTGCACCGCCCGCTCGCCCACGCGCCCGACCGCACCAACTCCGCACCGGTCTCGTGCATCGTGCGCTTCTTCTGCAACCGCACGTCCGTCACACTCATTACAACGAACAAACAACATGTGCACCGCCCGCTCGCCCACGCACCCGACCGCACCAGCTCCACGCCGCGCTCGTGCAGCGTGATCTTTTTCTGCAACCGCACGTCCGTCACACTCATTACAACGAACAAACAACATGTGCACCGCCCGCTCGCCTACGCGCCCGACCGCACCAGCTCCGCACCGCGCTCGTGCAGCGTGCGCTTCTTCTGCAGCCGCACGTTCGTCACACTCATTACAACGAATAAACAACATGTGCACCGCCCGCTCGCTTACGCGCCCGACCGCACCAGCTCCGCGCCGCGCTCGTGCAGCGTGATCTTCTTCTGCAACCGCACGTCCGTCACAGTCATTACAACGAACAAATAACATGTGCATCGCCCGCTCGCCTACGCGCCCGACCGCACCAGCTCGGCGCCGCGCTCGTGCAGCGTGATCTTCTTCTGCAACCGCACGGCCGTCACAGTCATTACAACGAACAAACAACATGTGCACCGCCCGCTCGCCTACGCGCCCGACCGCACCAGCTCCGCGCCGCGCTCGTGCAGCGTGCGCTTCTTCTGCAACCGCACGTTCGTCACACTCATTACAACGAATAAACAACATGTGCACCGCCCGCTCGCCTACGCGCCCGACCGCACCAGCTCCGCACCGCGCTCGTGCAGCGTGCGCTTCTTCTGCAGCCGCACGTTCGTCACACTCATTACAACGAATAAACAACATGTGCACCGCCCGCTCGCTTACGCGCCCGACCGCACCAGCTCCGCGCCGCGCTCGTGCAGCGTGATCTTCTTCTGCAACCGCACGTCCGTCACAGTCATTACAACGAACAAATAACATGTGCATCGCCCGCTCGCCTACGCGCCCGACCGCACCAGCTCCGCGCCGCGCTCGTGCAGCGTGATCTTCTTCTGCAACCGCACGTCCGTCACAGTCATTACAACGAACAAACAACATGTGCACCGCCCGCTCGCCTACGCGCCCGACCGCACCAGCTCCGCGCCGCGCTCGTGCAGCGTGATCTTCTGCAACCGCACGGCCGTCACAGTCATTACAACGAACAAACAACATGTTCACCGCCCGCTCGCCTACGCGCCCGACCGCACCAGCTCCGCACCGCGCTCGTGCAGCGTGCGCTTCTTCTGCAACCGCACGTTCGTCACACTCATTACAACGAATAAACACCATGTGCCCCGCCCGCTCGCCTACGCGCCCGACCGCACCAGCTCCGCACCGCGCTCGTGCAGCGTGCGCTTCTTCTGCAACCGCACGTTCGTCACACTCATTACAACGAATAAACAACATGTGCACCGCCCGCTCGCCCACGCGCCCGACCGCACCAGTTCCGCGCTGCGATGTGCACCGCCCGCTCGCCCACGCGCCCGACCGCACCAGCTCCGCGCCGCGATGTGCACCGCCCGCTCGCCTACGCGCCCGACTGCACCAGCTCCGCACCGCGCTCGTGCAGCGTGCGCTTCTTCTGCAACCGCACGTTCGTCACACTCATTACAACGAATAAACAACATGTGCACCGCCCGCTCGCTTACGCGCCCGACCGCACCAGCTCCGCGCCGCGCTCGTGCAGCGTGATCTTCTTCTGCAACCGCACGTCCGTCACAGTCATTACAACGAACAAATAACATGTGCACCGCCCGCTCGCCTACGCGCCCGACCGCACCAGCTCCGCGCCGCGCTCGTGCAGCGTGATCTTCTGCAACCGCACGGCCGTCACAGTCATTACAACGAACAAACAACATGTTCACCGCCCGCTCGCCTACGCGCCCGACCGCACCAGCTCCGCACCGCGCTCGTGCAGCGTGCGCTTCTTCTGCAACCGCACGTTCGTCACACTCATTACAACGAATAAACAACATGTGCACCGCCCGCTCGCCTACGCGCCCGACCGCACCAGCTCCGCACCGCGCTCGTGCAGCGTGCGCTTCTTCTGCAACCGCACGTTCGTCACACTCATTACAACGAATAAACAACATGTGCACCGCCCGCTCGCCCACGCGCCCGACCGCACCAGTTCCGCGCTGCGATGTGCACCGCCCGCTCGCCCACGCGCCCGACCGCACCAGCTCCGCGCCGCGATGTGCACCGCCCGCTCGCCTACGCGCCCGACTGCACCAGCTCCGCACCGCGCTCGTGCAGCGTGCGCTTCTTCTGCAACCGCACGTTCGTCACACTCATTACAACGAATAAACAACATGTGCACCGCCCGCTCGCCCACGCGCCCGACCGCACCAGTTCCGCGCTGCGATGTGCACCGCCCGCTCGCCCACGCGCCTGACCGCACCAGCTCCGCGCCGCGATGTGCACCGCCCGCTCGCCTACGCGCCCGACCGCACCAACTCCGCACCGCGCTCGTGCAGCGTGCGCTTCTTCTGCAACCGCACGTTCGTCACACTCATTACAACGAACAAACAACATGTGCACCGCCCGCTCGCCCACGCGCCCGACCGCACCAGCTCCGCGCCGCGCTCGTGCGCTTCTTCTGCAACCGCACGTCCGTTACACCCATCCATATCACTCATTACAAGAAAGAACACGTTTTACGTGACTACTCTACTCTTTGTATGTTTGACATTGACAGTAAAAAAATGAGTAGGCAGATATGTAAAGTTCACATTAAATCTAATATTTACATCCGGTTGTAGGGCGTCCCCCACTAGATGGAAAGACGACCTGGTAAAACATGTAGGAAGTCGAAGATCGCTTAGGCCGTGTTTTGTGGTATTCCTTGGAGGAGCCTACGCTCTACTGCATCTTATTTAATGCATCAAGTCCTCCCTATCTAAAAGAACGTTTTAAATTTCTTAGCTCTTGTCACGACTTTTCCTTACGGTCCAAAGAAAATCTTTCGCTCCAATGTCCTGTGCACTTCTCGACATTTTATGATGAATCTTTTGCTGTTCTTGGAGTAAGACTGGAACTCCTTACCCCAGTCAATTAAAAGTGCTCAATCATTAAATGTGTTTAAGAATCAGATTAAGGAACACTATTTGTCTCTTTAACTCCTCTTAGTCATTAATCTACCTAAAGTATGTTGTCATTTTAGTATATAAGTTTGTATTATTTTTTCTAATTTATGCACCCTACCCGTAAATCTTATTTTATTAATTTCCTCTTCTGGTTTGTCTGCAAGAGATTGCTATGTAGCAATAAGACCGTCTTTTGTCTTTCCCTCATTGTTTGTTCATTATTTGTTATATTTATGTTTCGTTGGTGTATACAATAAAGAGTATTGTATTGTATTCTATTGTATTGTATTGGAGGCCTATGTTCAGCACTGGACTTGCAAAGGGCCGTAATGAATGAATAAATGAACATCTAATTTTGCATGAGAACATTAATTAGTAAGTCAGTTTAATAACAGGCATTCCCTCTTGGTCCTCAGAGTTGATGACACATCAGGAGCTTGTAGTCAAGCACTGGCTTAGAATTATTATTATTATTGTAAGAAACTTCTAATTTACTTTAAATTGCCCATAAACCACCAGTTGATAACACATGACATGGCTATAGGTAAATAGATCACACATAATATTGCCATATTCCTCCTTTTATTATTAGAAAAAAAAGGGAAGAGGGGAATACAAGATAACGACGTCGGAAACTTTTATAGATATAGAATGTGTTCCGAAACATTCCCAGTATACTGGCGAATTCAAATGACGTCTTTAATCGACACGATATTGTACTGGCGTGCCGCCGCCATATTATGTCGGATATCCCGCCATATTTAAACAATCTTCAATCATGTGTACACCGAATAAAGCATGCTAAAATTTGTTATTTATTCAAATAAAAAAATTATGGAATAATTGCTGACATCTCCATTCTTAACAAATTAATTAAAACAGGATATAATAACTTTTAGAGCACATAATGACATAAAATAATCGCCAACACTATTCCAATATGGCGCCAATGTATGATGTAATGTACTGGCCAATGTTTCAAAACGAATCACCAGCATGGCGTCGATTTATGACGTCATTTGCATTGGCAAGTATACTGGGTTCTAATTCGGAACACACCCATAATCAGTCTAGGCTACAATTCTAAGTAGCTAATTGAGGAATAGACTTTTCCTAAATCTTTTCTTCAAATGTCTTGTCCCCACATATCGTCTCAAATATATGAGTAAACGCCATAATCTTCAGTTTAGTTACAAAATTTAACATTTGTAGTATATAAAATCGGCTAGTCCCCAGAAAACAATATATGGATTTGAAAAGAATTTAACCCAAAAGTTCATAAGCATTTAGTTCTATTTCAATCAGCAAAAAAAAACTTAATTCCATATTAAGAAAATTACCTTCATATTACTCATGAGCTGTTTATCAAGCGTCTGCAGTAAGAAGCGATCGGATACTGCACAGGTGCTTCCAAGCAAAGAACATGCCAATGCCCGCACTTGCATACACAGGTCGTTCACCGCCGAACAAATGCGTATGAATGCATCGTCAACCATGCGGATGGTTGTTTCACCATCAGGCAATGTTATTGAACTGAAAACATTTTATATAAACAATATTCAATAATTTATTAGTAATTGATTGTTCGTAAATTATTCGTAAATATATTATTGCGAAGTTTTTATTTATATTATATATATTATTGAGCCGTGGTAGCTCAGACGGTTAACGCTCGCTGTAAATATAACAGAACGCGAGTAACCCGGATTCGATCCCCGCCGGCACCAATTAAATTGTTAATTGCGATTTTAAGTGCTGATTTACCACGTGCTCAACGGTGAAGGAAAACATCGTGAGGAAACCTGCATGTCTGAGGAATAAGAAAAAATATTTGGAAGACATGTGAAGTTCGCCAACACGCATTGGGGCAGCGCGGCGGACACTTTCTTGCCCTAAAACCCTCTCAGAAATGAAAGGCTGTAACTTTAGTATACTTTACTTTTATTATTTATTATATCAACCTGTCCAATTACTATCACTTCAGCCAACCAGTCACAGCTGAACTGAACACTTCAGTCCAATTTTGAATGCAGTGGACTGAAGACTGAACGGGGCCTGCCCCATTTAGCCTTGCTTCCAGACAATTTAATGCAAGCACTAATGATCAAAGATATCTATATTTCCTAAATATAGACCAAACTAAAGTTCTCCAGATCAAATTTCGATCACGGTGGCCAGCCTCAACGGAGACTAGTCATTGGCACAGGCCAGAATGCACCTGTACTTGCACACTTATGGTGTATGCACAAGCATAGGTGCACTCTCTATTCCCCCAAACTCTTAGTCCGATGGGATGGTAAGCCCACAGGACCAGAGAGAGATCAGGCGCAGGAACAACGGTAACAACGCGGAAAGGAATGCGGTAATCAACGCGGTTGATAAGCGTCGCGGGCCACGAGCGTTGCGTCTCTTGGATCGTTACATAGTTTAACCAACACGCGTGGATGGCCCGCGCTGGCGGCATTCAGCCGCGCGTTTCAACAGTAAACGATGTAGAGAAAGCAAACCGCGCTACTCTAAGCTCATTTTACAGTTTAGAGCGGGTTATCCGCGCGCTTACGGGCCGCGCTTACCTCCCGTGCTGACGTTAAGCGTCACTGTAAAACCACACTTAGAAGGCAGATTGGTCTATACTTTCTCAAAATAGTTTTTTTCCCTTTCCTGAAGAAGTTGGAATTTGGATGATATTCTACCTTAATCTCCATAAACAAGTGTGGATGTTTACGCCCGATTGTCTCGAGCGGGGTGAGGTAACAGTTAGTGTCGCGCGGGAGAGGAGGCTAGCTGCGTCGTGCGCGCATAGACCGCGCGGCAGTCGGCCGAAAGCCTTGATCGGTGAAACCGCGCCAGCGGAACGTCGGGAGTTACGTAATCTCCCGGGTCGATTTAGAGGTCGCGCGTTTTTTTTTATTTTTTGATATAATTTTGCGTCGAAAGGGCGGCCTACTGGTGTTATCTTATATTTGTACGTAACCGTGATAACTAGGCTTATTTCTTGAGATTATTTGCGCGAAGCCCGGGTCGATTATACTATTGAATGTTAGAATATAGTTTAGACCGCCTCGAATTTAGTTGTCTGTTTTGTCGTGTTACGTGACAGGTGGCCTACTTGGAATTTGTAGTGATTAAAGGAACTTTTATGCCGGTAATTGCATCGACGAGTTAGTATTTTGTGCTACGTGGGCCTGCGACATTGAACTTTGACCAACCGTCCTTAAAGTTGTACCGCATGTCACTTGGTTAATGTTGATTTGGTTGAACTTGAAGTTAATTAAATGTACAATAAAGTGATAAACTAATATAGTGAAAATAGAAGCGGAAGTTTTCCATTGGTGTACGCCCCTTTGATGGATCCCACATTTGGAGAGAGGCAACGCCTTGGATCTGCTGTCCAGGATCAGCGGGGATGTCAGGTTACACATTGAACACAATACTGCACACCACTTACATGCACATCACCTTTCACCTGACTATGCCCTGTGGTTAACCCTACCTCCGGTAATCGGTAAGTATTGCTTGCTTCTTTGTCAGCTGTTATAGTTTAATTATCCATAGGTCTTGGACCCTCGCCTTTGTTACCCGTCGAATTGGACTACTAATGGGCCCTAGTCTCGATCGGCTTTTGTCAGGGTAATTCAGGGCCGTAACAGTGGAATATTATTTTATCATAAAAATTAATTTATATAATATTGTCTATAATATATATAAATGCACTACTTACTTCTCTGGATACTTATTTCCCAGCAGCCAAACCAGTCTAAGAGCAACTTCCCTCACAATTTCATAATCATCAGACAAAGATTCACATACATGCTCGTATAAAGATGCATTCAATGTTTGACCTCTCTCATGTAATGTTAATAGTGATTGAAATGCTTCACATCTAACTCTTGCATCCTAAGTACAAATAGAAGAAAAAAAACATTAACAATACATTAATTATTTGAATGATTGAATTGCAGAACAACCATCACATATAGCCATGGTAGCTCAGGTACTTCCCCACGAATGAGTTCCGCCTTGTCGTGGCAGGGGCTTAGTCGTCTCTTGGTCACCAATGGTGAACTAAGAGGAACCCACATAGCTGGCCTGACCCTACCCTTCAGTCAAGGTGGAGACGCGGAGGAAGAGGAGTGTTGGTATAGATCGTCGGACACGTGGGCGTCCATTGCGCATTAGTTGGAAGGCACGGCATATTTTCTGATGCGCCTTACCTGAGAAGGAGATGGGGGGAGGAGTAGTGCTCTCCCCAGAAGAGGCCACTGTGGGGCGGCCGGTGCTGACAGGACCTAGCTATGAACATTATAACATATAGACAGTTATGGAAACTGTCTATTTACTTTATAACTAATAGATAATTATACATAACTGACATAACCGTCTATTTCTTATAACGATCCGCAACACACAGAGTACCTTTGAACCGCAACACTGTGCTGCACCATTGCATTGCTTGGAATGGGCCAGATCGTGATATTTTCTTAACATCACGCACTCGTTGCGGTACAAAAGCAAATGTTATGCCGTAACAATAACAAAGAACTTGCAGACAGCGAAATGTGTAGGTGAGCGAAGCGAAATTCTACAAATATTTATTTCTTTTACATATTGGAGACGCCAGTAACTTAAGGTATCTTCGATAAAGATTTAGTGGACTGTAATTTTGGTGCATACGGCAAAGGGGGAAAATAAATAGGTGGGATAGCACGCACTGACCTGATGAGGGCTGCCTCGCCTTCCTCCTGGAGTGTCTGCTATACAGCGAGCTCGCCACGTGGTTCGGCGCACACGCACTCTCGGAACAGTTTCGTGAAGTCCCACACTCTCGACCTTTGCCCTTACGGGGGCGTCTCACACTTTTATGAGTTACAAAGACACAATGTCTGATGCGGTGAGTATTAAAGATAAACAGGAGAACTTAATGTTCGTCCTGCGCGGTTTGCGGTTAATATATATAAGACGCGACGGCTGGCCGTGCGTTGCGGATGGCGTAATGTCACTTAGTATAATGACGCGCGCCGAGATCCTTTCCTTCACCTCGGCGGCAGCGCGTGCGGTAGGAAAGGGAAGGAAGGAAGGAAACAAAAATATGCACTAGTCATGTTGATAAAGTAGTAGAAACTTAGGACGAACTCAATGCGATGAGTAATGTAATGTTGATAAAGTAGATTGTTAACTGGCGTTACCATTTCCTCCCGCCCTTAAAGGGTCACCTTTAAAAGACAACCGTAATATAAAAAGAAAAGGAAAACAAATAAATAAGCGGTATATAAAGTGAGAGGATGCGCTCAATGCGCGTGTGTCATCTACTAACCCTACTTGGTAAGCGAGAAAATGTATACATAAATATAATATTGCGGTTTAATACTTTTTAATATATAAATATAAACTTAATTCCTATATCAAATAATCGTGATTTATTGTCTTGGGAGAGGGCAGATACGAGCAACAGGACGGAGATATGTTCCCTTAGTAGTTCTCACGGTCACTACTCTAACTACGCCATCCTTCGAAGGATGAACAGACTCGACAATCGCTAATGGCCAAGCAAGGGGCGGTTCATTATCATTTATCACAATTACAACCATGCCTGGTACGATAGCCGTAGACGGGGTGTTCCACTTCTGACGAACTTGTAATCCGTGAAGGTATTCCGTCCTCCACCGATCCCAAAACGACTGAACTAATTTATCCAGTAAAGAATGCCTGTGTAACAGACTGGTAGAGTCAGATTTGACTTCGGGTGCGGGTAATGACAATAAAGGTGCGGTATTTAAAAAATGACTCGGAGTAAGAGCTGAAGGCTCTGCGGGATCAGAACTTAATACTGTCAAGGGCCGCGAGTTTAGCAAGCACTCAATTTGCGCAAGAACAGTATTAAGCTCTTCGTATGAAAGTAACTGATGTCCGATAACTCGGAACAGATGCGTTTTTACGACTTTGACCATACTCTCCCAGGCGCCTCCAAAATGAGGAGAGTTGGGACAGATGAACTTCCATGTTATACGATTCTCAGCACACTCTTGCTCAAGCTTTGGGCGGTATTCAACGTTTAGAAATTTATAGAGATCGCGAAGGTACGAAGCGGCACCTTTAAAATTCGTTCCATTATCCGAATATAAAAACTGAATCGGCCCTCGTCTAGAGAGGAAACGTTTAAGCGCAGCGAGGAAACTAGAACTACTAAGATCTGTAGCGATTTCTATATGCACAGCTCGAGTCGTGAGGCATGTGAAAACACATAAGTACGCCTTCTCGCTGCGTACACCACGACGACGTACAGGAGTGTATGCGATAGGACCGGCATAATCGCAGCCCGTGTGTGTAAATGCCTTAATAGCTTGTCTTACACGACTATGGGGAAGATCAGCCATCAAAGGGTAAGTTGGACGGGGTCTAAGCCGGAAACATATATTACACTTGTGGACTCTGCTTCTCACAGTGCGGCGTGCGGAGAGTATCCAAAATTTTTGACGGAGTAATGACAATAACAATTCAGGCCCAGCGTGTAAATTTTTAATATGATAATAGTCAATGATCATGTTCACTACATGATCACTGCGCGGGAGTATAATTGGATGTTTTTGCGTGTAATCTAATGCGAAGTTTGAAAGAAGACCACCAATGCGGATTAAACCATTCTCAATAAAAGGCCTTAAACGATTGAAAGCGGGCGAGCAAGGTTTGTTACCTTCAATATTTAAATATTCCACTGCAAAATGCTGTTTTTGCAGGGCGCGGAGCATTATAACCTCAGAGAAACTGAGATCACCAGCAGTCACTACAGTAGTGCTGCGGCGGGGCAATAATTTAGCAAACTTACACACGTACGCAATTATACGTAGAAGTTTACTCCAAGAAGAGATGCGGAGTGCGAGCTCATAAATCGCAGAATTACAGACGGATGTGCACACAGCATGTGACAAAATCTTCTTCTCAGGCATGTCTGCAATAACCTCATTGTCTAAAGTACGAAGAGGCCATTGAGATGGATCTAACGAAGTCCACTGAGGCCCATGGAGCCACAGGGGGGTTTGAAACTAATTTATTTGGCGTAACGCCACGTGAAAGTATGTCAGCGGGATTCTCAGTACCTGCGACATGATAAAAGTTATCAGCGCGAATATTGTCGGTAATCTGAACAACGCGGTTTGCAACAAAGGTCTGCCACTTGTGTGGCGAACTCTTTATCCAGTACAGAGCTACTTTTGAATCTACAAAGGCATAGACTGATATTGCAAGGTCAAGAGAATAATTGTCGAGTACTCTGCGAAGCAATTTTGAGAGTAAAACCGCTCCACAAAGCTCAAGGCGTGCAATAGATAGTGGTTTTGTCGGTGCGACTTTAGTCTTCGCACAAATCAACTGGACGGTGTTACCATTGACGCTCTTTACATGTATGTAAACTACGGCACCGTATGCGTGCTAGCTGGCGTCGGAAAACCCCAGGAGTGACGCAGTACAGTTTTTGGATACACCAACATGTCGCGGGATACGTAAATCATTAAGAGCTGGTAATTCAGCACAGAATTGCCTCCACATCTTAATAATTGGCGGTGGTGGTATGTCGTCCCAATCTAAATTAAGTTGCCAAAGCTGCTTTATTAACAATTTAGCGTACGCCACTGTGGGAGCAACGAAACCCATTATGTCCCACAGGCGGGCGACAGTAGATAAGATGGCGCGCTTAGTGCACGTCACATCAGCGGGAACAGATATCTTAAAATAAAAGGTGTCACTATCGGTAGACCAATGCAAGCCTAGTATTTTATGTGGCATTGATTTATCGAACTCTACTTCTCCTGTAATTTTATGGGAAGTAGGGAGGTCATCTAAAACAGATCGACGGTTGCTATGCCATTTTATCAGGTCCCATTGGGCACCCTTGAATAAGTTTATCAGCTGCCGAGAGGTCTCACTGGCCTCGGATTCACTGGGCATAGAGAACGCGATGTCGTCCATATATAGCGAAGTAGATGCGATACGACTTGCAAGTGGATACTTTGCGCCGTCGTCATCAATGAGCTGTCTTACCGTGCGCAATGCATGGTATGGACTCGAAGTTAAACCGAAGCACACGCGATTGAAGTGGTACAACACAAGTGGGTCTTGTGGACGGAAGCGGTATAGGAAGCATTGGTAACGACGATCAGAATCGCGAACAACTATTTGCAGAAATTGTTGGCGACAGTCGGCTGTCATAGCGATTGGATGTAAGCGGAAAGTTAAAATTATATTGAACAAGTCGCCTTGCAAATTTGGTCCTGAATGCAGAATATCATTTAATGATCGCCCAGTGCTAGTCTTACTGCTAGCATCCAGGACGATGCGCAGACGCGTTGACTTCTTATCTTCGCGTAAGACTCCATGATGCGGTATGACATATATTGGAGCGGGTTCATGAGAGTCTTACGGCGGTGCGGGGGATATATAATTATTAGCTAAGTATTCCTTTATGACGTCATCATATGCTAACCTTAATGTAGGCGAGGCTTGAAGTTTCCTCTCCAAGCACATGAATCGTCGTCGAGAGGTTTCATAAGAATCTCCGAGAGAGTAAACGTCATCTTTAAATGGCAGGCCGACAATATATCTACCAGTAAAAGAATCGCGGGATGTCGTAGATTTATAAAACTCTTCACATTCAATGTTTGAAGGACACTGAATGGGCGGTGCGGAGGGTGGCTGTTCAAGCTCCCAAAATCGTTGCACTAATTTGTCAACGGTAGGAGACTCTAGAACTGAGCAGCACGTTAAAGAATGATTTACCTGAAGTGTCGGCACTGAGCCCATAATAACGTAACCAAATACCGTATTCAAAGCTGAGGGCCCGGACAAGTCGTTAGACGAATAAATTACGTCTGGACACAGTAAGTGCGGGAAAAGGGATGCGCCTATCAAAACATCAATTTTATTAGGCATGCTATAACATTCATCAGCGAGCCTTATGCCATGGAAGTGTGATAAGACAGATGTGTCTACCACAGCGGTGGGCAAAAGGTCGGTGATTTGATCAACAACTAGCGTTGAAATATTGAAGTTAATATTCGAATCGAATCGTGAGAAAATTTTAATATCAATCGATTTCGATTTTACAATTTTTTCAACTCCACCGAATCCCTTTACTACAGTACATTCGGTATCGGTGTTGAACGCCTAAACGATGACAGCACTCTTTAGTAATAAAATGGCTTTGAGCCGCGGAGTCTAATAATATACGAATAATTTGTTTCTCTCCCTTAGCATCGTATGCAAAGACTTGAGCGGTTGATAGTAAAACAGTTCTCTGCGAACGACTTACGCGCGCGGGAGGCGGTGAACGTTGAGAAACATTCTTGAACGAAGTACACAGCGCGACGTCTGAACGCGCACCTGCGGTGAGGGGTGGCGAGTGTGCGGGCGCGGGGGCTGTAGACTTCAGTGTAACTGGCTGAGGCGGTGGAGAATGCGCCAGCGCAGGGGAAGCATTATCGCTTCTGCGGTGGAAGTGCAACAATGTGTGATGTTTAAATTTACAAACTCGACAACTATAATTTGAAGAGCAACTAGACACTCGATGACTTAAACTGAGACAATTCACACATGCATTGTTACTCTTTACGCATTTAAATCGTTCCTGCGGCGTCATTTTATTAAAGTCTGCACACTTAAATAGGCGTTGATGCACAATATTATCACACAGACACTTTGAGCAACTAGTCGTCGTGCTTACGTACGCCTGATACTTCGGCGATGAAGTATTATTACAGCGACGATTATTATCGTTACCTCGTCGATTGTTTGGCGCGCTATTAGAATTTATACTAGAATCGGTGCGCTGCAAAACTTTGGAGCGGGTCTTAATAAAATTTACTAAATCATCAAAGGTAGGTACTATCGAGTTATGACTGTATTCGAAGGAGCGAATGGTATCCGGGTCCAGCTTCTTAAGCCCGATATGAAGAACAATTAAGTCCGCGAGATTATCTAACTTTAAGTTTTGTAAAGCGCGCACTGCACTTATAAAGTTATCAGTAAATAAATCAAAATTATTTGCGGTGGCCGATTGCAATGGCTTAAATTCGAACATCTGATTAATATATGTAGATGCTAGCATACGCCGGTCTTCGTATTTGTCAACGAGTGCTTGCAATAAAATCTTATAATTTTCAGCGCAAGGAGTTATACCTGAGCATACAGATAGGGCTTTGCCCGTTAGTTTACCTAGCAAATAGTATAACTTTTCAGCGTCGGTGAGCGATGGGTTGTCATGGACGGTTGATTTAAAGCTAGCATAAAATAAAGGCCATGAGCGAATGTCACCCGAAAATGGCATAAGTTCGATAGGCGGAAGTGTGAATCTGGCTTTAGATGGTGTACTAGTACTTTGTGAATTAGATTGCGAATATTGTAAATAAAGCCTATTTATTCTACCGCAAAGAGACTCAAACGCAATGAGGCTGTTATAATCAGGTTTAGCAATAGGGTTTATTTTTAATAAATGTGAATTATAATTATCTAAGACCTGTTTAAACTCAAACTTACTCAAACGTAAAGCATTAATGTTAGAACTTCCATCAAGAAAACGCTCCATCGTGGAAGTGTTCGTGTGGATGTCCGAGGACATATCATATATTTTTTGCACTATTTCAAATAAAGCATCTCGTTTAGCTAACAATAAAACCAACTCAGCATCAGGTGTGCCCTCATTATCCGAGGAATCGCTATTATTCGATGCTATTTGTTTTTTAGGCGGCATTACGGCTAAAGTTATACGGCAAAATATAATTATAAGCGGGTAGTCTCTAAGCGACCTCGCTACGCGGTTGAATTATTAAATATTAGTTTTGTTAACGATGAACTTTAATTGTTAACTTTTATAATAATTATGAAGTTATTTATAACGAATATAATGCTTAAATATATATGCAAATAATAAATGTAATTTAACTGTATATTCTATAGATGTAGTTAAAAGTTGATGACGTGATGTGAACATACAACAAAATAATTTATATAGATAATTATATGCTTATTCATTCTATGAATATAGTTTTAAAATTACTATGGATGTCACCTATTAGGACCTATTTTAGTGTTCTAATAAGGGCGGGGTCAATCCGAAGTCGGATTGAAATATAAATAATTAATTATATAAACGCTTATTACGATAACGATCTAATAAGGGCGGAAAGTCAAGGTCAATCCAGCGAGAAGTGACCATTAAAATGGAGACGCCAGTAACTTAAGGTATCTTCGATAAAGATTTAGTGGACTGTAATTTTGGTGCATACGGCAAAGGGGAAAATAAATAGGTGGGATAGCACGCACTGACCTGATGAGGGCTGCCTCGCCTTCCTCCTGGAGTGTCTGCTATACAGCGAGCTCGCCACGTGGTTCGGCGCACACGCACTCTCGGAACAGTTTCGTGAAGTCCCACACTCTCGACCTTTGCCCTTACGGGGGCGTCTCACACTTTTATGAGTTACAAAGACACAATGTCTGATGCGGTGAGTATTAAAGATAAACAGGAGAACTTAATGTTCGTCCTGCGCGGTTTGCGGTTAATATATATAAGACGCGACGGCTGGCCGTGCGTTGCGGATGGCGTAATGTCACTTAGTATAATGACGCGCGCCGAGATCCTTTCCTTCACCTCGGCGGCAGCGCGTGCGGTAGGAAAGGGAAGGAAGGAAGGAAACAAAAATATGCACTAGTCATGTTGATAAAGTAGTAGAAACTTAGGACGAACTCAATGCGATGAGTAATGTAATGTTGATAAAGTAGATTGTTAACTGGCGTTACCACATATAGATATTTATATTAACTGTTTCAAAATGGCAATGTGTCCCTGATTAAGCAATTTTAACCTCATTCTGTTTATTATAAAATTCTACATACATTTGTTCCCCAAAATATAAGGATTAAACTGCATTAATAAACTTGACCTTGTTATATATTTTAATTAAGTCATTTTAAATATAGATATAGCTTCGGTTTAGGTTGTAATATAATATAGAAACAATGTCATGACAAAACATATGTTTTATGGGAGATTTCCAAATTAAAGCGATAATTTAAATAAAAAAGCGCGTTGTAATATTTGTAAAAACCAATTCAGTTTTTAGACGACTTCAAGTAATCTGAAGTCACATTTACGACAGCGACATATGGAAGCGTACACACAAGAGCACAGGAAACAATTTCAATTTCACAAAAATTCACAATTGGAACAGCAAACAATTGCTACATCTTTGAGAGCTGTGAACACTTTGGGTGTTGGGACACCCTTGCCCTTGCATCGAAGCATTAAATTAAAAGATAACTTTATGACCCAGCCTTCGATGTCAAACCCAACCTCTGTTACCCCATCAGCTGTTCCGCAGTCTCAACTCAACCAAGAAAAAATGGATGCCTTTAATCCTAGAAAGATATCAAAAGTACGAAGAAAAGTTCATTTCAACAACTAAATTAGTATTTCATGTCAACAGTTTATATCACGAAACAAAAATAATTTTGATAATAACTATTCTATGATATTATATTTTTATGTTGCTGTTACATGCAAAATTGACAGTTATGAATATAGATACTTATGATAAAGTTATCCGTTGTACCATAACAATAATTTATTTACAAACACATAAAGACCCACCACTAATAGGAATGCAGATGTGTGCGAAAGTGTTCCCGTAGCCCTGCCAACATGCAGTGAAGTTTTAACATCATCGCATTTTAGTCAGTGCAAGTCCATATATGTAGGCATTTCCCTATGTAAAAATAGGTAGCCCAGGTGTTAATCACTGTCCACACCAACACCAAAGAAATAGTTCACAGCAATTTAAAATACTGATTTAGCTATACCTGTAATATGTACTTGTTATTAGTACATGTTACTAGTACCAGTTTCTTGTATGTTTTAAAAATGTTAGGTAAATTATAACCTGTAATATGTACTTGTTATTAGTACATGTTACTAGTACCAGTTTCTTGTATGTTTTAAAAATGTTAGGTAAATTATATATCAACCTTTAAGGAAGATCGAACATTGGTGAGAGAATTGCCTTTTATCAGAAGTAATAAAAACTGCCTAGCCCTGACCTGAGATCAGGGTTAATGTAGGCAGTACTTATGGAAGTCTACAAATATAGATTTAATTACAAAGATAGATGGGTCTTAAATTGAAAAAGTAATATATTCTATCTGTTAATGATACAAAGCTTACCTCAGCATTTGAATAATCTCCCAATAATTTCACAATAGCATCTGCTTCCACTGTCATATCTTGTGTTCTATCTGATTCTGGGTAAATTGGATATAGTTCACTAATAAGCTGTAGAGACCGGCATTTCACAGAATGACTTGTATCTTTAAGGTTGTCCTTTGCCACATTTACAAGGCGCATCATAAGAATTTTGTCGTCGCTTAACTTAGAACCCAACTTTAGTAATGTTGCGATGCCTTGTGCTATAACCTAAAACATTTAAATAAACAATATTTAAATGTTCAATGACCACACTGATGAGGCAGTAAGGAATCATTAGTAATTTTCTTTTTAAAATCTTTTACTTTTACCATTAATTATTTATTATATATTAGCATCTCATATTATAAATTTAATATTCAGTAATTATTGAAAATTTCAAGATTCTATAGCTGTTATCATAGTGGTTTAATCAGTATGTACTACCTGTACAGTTAAAGAATGGGATTGAAAATGGCGAGCCATTGCAATAAAACTTCATGAATTAATAAGAGTAATACCAGGAGTGATCTAAACTAAATTTTATCTGAAAAATCTAAAAATTTTATTAAAATTGAAATATTGTTAAGATAAAATAAATGGATGTTAATGATCGTCTTAAGTCTAAATAAAGCCACATTATTAAAAACCACCCAGGCAAAGCCAGAGTGGGTCCCTAGTTATAAATTTATTTTTAAATTAATGTACCTACTTGTGTGTAGTTTTCTAAATATTTTATCATTAACAGAAAATTTCTAATTAATTAATTACATTATATGTTATAACGATATATCATTAATAACGGGTTTTCGCTATTGGTACTGTACATGTTGATGGTACGGGCTCTATGAGCCGCCATATCTAATCCCATTCTTTATCTGTATGGACTATAAGAATTTTACATGTTGCCTATAAACCTCCTCTTTAGATGCAATGAACATTTTCAATTATGTTACCTTGTGTGATGTTTCATTTTTAATTAAATGTATTGTCTCTTCGATTAAATTGTTCAGATTAGCACCTGGACACTCTAATCCAATGTCACAATACAGCCACAATATTTTAACTCTAACAACAGACTCCTCTTCTGATTGGAAATGTTCCGACAGCTTTTTGATAGCTTCTTCTACATCCGATTCTTGGAACTGTAAGCAATCCGATATCCTCAGTAGTAACTGAAGAGCCTCTTCACTTGATTTGCATTTTTCCAAGAGTCCTACAAAAGCAGCTGCAGAGCTACCTATCAAAGGTTTCTTAGCCAAATGCAGTTTTTTTGATGACGGACCATCCTGAAAATTTTAAAATAATGGTATATATCAATACAAGAGTATTTATAAATATCTGGTTATAATGTTTTATGGCCAATTTATGTATAATGAAAAACTAGGTATCTTTAGAAAATAATTATAATTCACGACCAGTTATTTGTTAAAGTATTTTTTACTCGGCTTATAATCACACTGTAAACACTAGGAACAAACACAAGCTAGTGATACCAATTTTTCGACTTCATAGAATCAGTAATTCATTCATGGAGTCAGGCTTTTAGAATAAACTTCCAGAAAATATAAAATACTTAAGTTTAAATATTTCACTAGACAAAAACTGTATAAAAAGGGTTATTATAATATAAATGAATAAGTGGTTGATAATAACTCCTGGGAATGAGGTGATCACTTCCAAACCGTTTCTACAATAAATTTTGTAAATGGAATTTTATCATATCATATATCATAATTTACTTTTAAAAACTGAGCAAAATTGATTAGTCAGATTATTTAAATGTTTTGAAATGCAGGGTATAGGAAAGCATGAAAATAGCCTGTTTATTCCAAATGGAAATGGGATATTTTTTAATTAAAGGAAACTGAGCATAATTATCCGTCAGGGATGCAGACTTTTGAAAAGAAACTGAGCTAAATTGATTCATAATGATTTCTTAAATTTACGCGAACACTACACATTGAATAAAACTAAATTTACGGATTCTATCGCGTTTATTTAACTGATTTTACTTATTTTTAATTCCCGACGTTTACAGCAACCATGGTCACGGGGGGACCGAGATGTTTGACGTCCCAATGTCATTGTTAGCCCGGCTACCTTCAGTTTTTGAATATTAATTTTTGGTCTGATTTACGCAAAACGAACTTACAGTATCTTGAAGTCTTGCAGTGGTATGCTTGGGTTTGGGTTTGTTAATTATATGATCCCAAGCAGATGGCAGCACCCAACCATCTGCTGTGCCCCTAACTGTGTCTACTGAGAAATACTCTGTTATTTCTCCTGCTACTTTGCTTAATATATCTGAATTTATTTTGTTAATGCTCTCATTTTTTGGTGCAAGAATTGCCCTTTCACATAACCATTTGTCTTCATGCATGTTGTTCGTTAAATCTGAATAAACGCTCGCAATTAATTCGGAATGACTCTGTACTAAATTACAAAAATCTCTCGTCAATTTAACGCAGCCCTCAGCATTCGTTTCCAACCGCCCATCGCCAATTTTTAATAGCGTGTCAGCATAGTTTCCAGCATTGATATCATTATATCAAATGCACTCATATTCGTAGTTAAACTGAATTTTGTCATCTTGTTCCATAAACTAGACGACTTGAGGCATGCTTTAATTTCATCTGCAGGTGTGCCCTTTTGAATGATAGGTAAAGTTTGGCGAAAGTCACCAGCCAGTAAAACCACCATTCCTCCCATTACATCGGTATTGCTGCGCAAATCCTGTAGCGTTCGATTTAGTGCTTCTACAGCTTTTTTATGCGACATTGTACTTTCGTCCCACACTAAAAATTTGCATTGTCATAGCATTATACCTCGTGCACTATTTTTGCTAAAGTTGCAGATCGGTGATTCTTCCTGGGCTAGATTTAGAGGGAGTTTTAAAACAGAATGTGCAGTGCGGCCCCCGCTTAGCAGCGTGGCGGCTATACCGGAGGAAGCTACGGCCACAGCAATGTTTTTATCTTTCCGTACTTGCGCTAATAATAAATTTAACAAAAATGTCTTCACAGTTCCTCCAGGGGCATCTAAAAAGAAAAGTGCACCATTTCCAGATTCAATTTGTTCTAATACTTTGTCAAAAACTCGTTTTTGTTTGGGAAGCAAGCGGGGTACAAATTCGGCTACTTGCTGCTGCAAAGCTATAATTTGTTTCACGTATAATTTCATCACTTAGTTCATTTTCGGTTGTTCGCTGAGGGCTTATCATTCCAAAGTCGCTTAATTTTTTGCCTACCATTGCCATTACTTTATCTTCAATTTTTCCAAGTGCTTCATTATAAATGTGTTCATTGTATGTCATGTTCGCTTGTGTCTGCTGTAACCTTCGCAAAATACCTTCCGCCATGTACTATTTGTCCCACAATTCATGTGCATTAGATAGCCCGCAAGATGATATGAGAGTTGCATAAAGATCCCTAATTTTGGCTGGTGACTGGCACTGCACAGCTTTCTCCATGGTTTCATTCCAGTGATTATCGTTTTCTAAAAGATGCAGCGCTTCACATGCTTCTCTATAAGTTGCGCATTCCTGACTGTTGACAGTTTTAAGGTCTTTATATCCTGTAGGACCCCGAACATGGTGCAGCAGCAATCATAAACAGAAACATTCAAAATTAGTTACATGGACGGTATACACACGACTAAGGGCATCTGATGACTTTACACCAGGCCAATTTGAAACAGGCGCGCCTTGAATACAGCGTTTCCACTCCTTCCTAGATGTGTTCCAAGTATAATAGCGGGGAACTTCAGAATATAACATCGTTTTTGCAAAGGGATCAGTTTAACAAAGTTGAAAGAAGGCTGTTAGTGTAGTTTTTGGCGGTGATGCAATTCTTTCTTGGAAATTTCTTTCGGTGAAATATACACGCTCTCCATTTTCTAAGTGCACAGCAAGGTGAGTAACTGTTGGGTGCCTATTGTGTAAAGGGAAGCCAAGGAGACACCACGCTGTCTCGTTACAGCTGACATAATGCCCTGCTTAAAAGGTCTGTACTTCATTAATGGGATTTGCCTCACCTTCACTACTGAGATAAAAAAAATATTGCTTGGTCGCTTACTTTATTTATGTACTTACAGATATACTTGATTGCGCGGACAGAGCTACATGCTTCTACTTACAATGGGCGAATACGGGACAATCCAGCTGTTATCTAAGGTTTCGAACGCTCCAGAGCAAGATTTGATTGTAACTTTTCTGCCACCATCTTCGGGAGCTCTGCGTCTGTATAAAGGGTAGCCATTGTCACTATGCACCGTTTCTTTTAATAGCTGTTTAGGGAATTTCTTTGTACATTTTCCTTCTTTCATACATGGCGATATTGAATTTCGTGCTCCACATGAACCGTGAATCATATTACGGACGATGGTATCATACAATCTTTATCTTGCTCAGGGTCTGGAATCTCGACGCTTATTATGTCATCTATTTGGCTGGGCCGCAACTTCTCTTTAAGCCATATTAGAATGTGGGCATGCGGTAATCCCTTTTTTGCCATTCAATTGAATACATACATGAAGCACTGCCACCTCTCCAAAAAGTTTCCCTTTGATAATTACATACATTAATTTTTGTACTTTTAATCTATATACTCTAGCAACTAAATCGTATCTGTCAGCACTTTTTGTCCCGGCATAAGCTCCACGGTTATTTCTTTCTATGTGGGATTGCAAGTAAAAGTAACAAAAAGATCAGGTCTTCCGTAAGTTCGTACATAGGTGAATGCGTCTTGTGTGTACTCATGTAAGTAGCAGGGACTTAACGAATGATGAGGGCATAATTACCATTTTACCTAAATCTCTGGGGTTTACATTAGCGTCGCTAGAAACTGCATCTTGTAAATGTATATAATTCTCAACGCATAGCTTTTTTTGATTTAAAGATATATAACGGAGACGTTCACTTTCTACCTTCACATACATGTCTACCAAAAATTGATGAAATAATGATCTACACCGGGCTAAGAGGTTAAAATCATTTTCTCGCAACATCATATGATACGCATAAAAATCCATACATGATACTTTTTTGTTCGGAGTAGGCTCCTTTGTAACCGGGTTAATGAGTGGAATTCGAAAATGATAACCCTCTTGTCCTTTGCAATTAATCAATGGGTATTGCAGAGAGTCATAAAACTTGTGTGTATCGGCTACCTGTTGCAACGTATCATCACGTGCTCGCAAGACAATGTCTCGTGAAGAAAATTGATCACCACTAATTACGGCTGCTATTTCGTTTATCAAAGGTGCATTGTAGCGCCTTTCGTGCTCTCCTCGAGGGGTCCGATCTGCGTCAATAACGACTTTATAATCCTCTTCAGGTAGGTTTTCTAAAGCAGTTTTAAATGTTTTGACTAAAATGTTACGTTCATGCAAGGTTTTCTAAAGCAGTTTTAAATGTTTTGACTAAAATGTTACGTTCATGCAAGAATCTTTGAATTTTGAACACTGTGTCTCTCTCAACTCCCTGGATAAATTGGCAGCGACGGTCTACCTCAATTTCTTCGTCATCCATAAAATATACTTGTAAAAATTTATGCTGTTCGTTTTCAGCTGGAAAAAGTGAACCTATTCTATGATAAATTTGCCCTTGCACCGTAAATGTAGGCGAAAATTCCGGCATTATTATTTCCCGGTCAACTCCGAAGGACGTCATTTGAAAATTTCCGGATCCTGTTTAAAAAGCGCCGCGACTCATTAGCATCATATAAAAAGAGAGTTTTCAAAGGTTCTTCTGGTTCCCCAAGTAACGGAAGAGACACTCAATGAGTCTGTGTTGAGTTTCATCAGGTGTTTCCGCGGCTCTTAAGGCGGCCTGACGTTCCGCTTGTTCGAATAGCCTTTGCTGACTTTGAGCAGGTGTTTCATTAGCTCTTAAAGTAGATTGACGCTCTGCCTGTTAAAGACGCCTTTGCCGACTTTGATCAGGTGTTTCAGTAGCTCTTAAAGTAGCTTGCTCGACACTCTGCCTGTTCAAGACGCCTTTGCTGACTTTGAGCAGGTGTTTAAGTAGCTCTTAAAGTAGCTCGACGCTCTGCCTGTTCAAGACACCTTCGCTGACTTTGAGAAAGTGTTTCAGAAGCTCTTAAAGTAGCATGACGCTCTGCCTGTTCAAGACGCCTTTCCTGATTTTGAGAAGGTGTTTTGGAAGCTCTTAAAGCAGCCTGACGCTCTGTCTATTCAAGACGCCTTTGCTGACGTTGAGAAGGTGTCTCAGATGCTCTAAAAGCAGCCCGACACTCTGCTTGTTCTTGCCTTCTCAATTCAGCATCTTCTAAAGATTCTAGCGATCGAGCTAATCTTTTCGCTTGTCTTTGAGAAGATATTCTTGAAAGGCTGGACTTACGTTTGCGAGGCATTATGAAGTAACAAAAAACCTATTTATAGAAAAACGTTAAAATACCTAAAAGGAATTAAATTTCCTTTTAAGTATTTTTTTTTAAAATCAAATCCAAAATATCTAAAATGAAATAAAAAAAAATTGAGAACATAAAAATCAACTTATACCAAATCACAAAACAAATCGCAGAAAACCGAAATCGAAAGCAGTAGTCAATATAAATATAACCAACGAAAAAAGAAGTAAGTGTATAGGTACCGTATACACTATCTATACTATTAATATTCCTTTGAAATATTGTTAAACAACCTAAAACAACAAAAACCAATTCACGATTCTAAATAAACAAAACCCAAAATCAAAGCTGGAGTCTAAATATGTATAAAGGAATACCAACCAAATCAACAAAACCGATTCAAGAAAATACACAAATCCGAAAATGAAAGCCAATATAAATCCATTCAACCTTAACCAAATCACAAGGCAAATAAACAACCGAAATCGAAAGCAGGTAGTGGAATACGCTACGAAAAAAAAGGTACTGTATGCATTATAAAACTGAAACATTTCGTTACCGCGTTTTAAAAACCTAATAACGACATCTAGCGGAATAAATTTAAACTATGTATATGTTTGTTAATAAGAACTCAAAAAATATTTTTCTTATATTAATTTTTCTTATTGTAATACCAATTCATTCATAACCACATATAAGAACTGTATTCATTTCCGTTCAATAAATATTACTAAGGCTTATTAATAAGGCTTACTAAGAACTGTTTCTACCACAGTTAAGTAATAGTTAAGGGTGAAAGCGTGACAGGTGGTGATAGTATTTCTGATCCATACTTATAATCACGCCTGTAACCCTTGCAGGGTAGGCAGTGCATCAACGGATTACTTAATATCGTCTGCGAGGTTATAGCCTATTCTGTGAATTACAATGCACCAAAACGTTTGAAGAAAATCAGCTGGTGAATTTTATGTTTTTTATCGCTCTCTTCCCGGTCCTGCATGGAAAAATACAGATCCATACATTTTTATCTTAATTTTGTTAAAAAGACATAATAATCCAGATATTCTGACCTTCTGTGCTCGTCCATCATACTGTCGTCAGTCTTGTAGAATCACAGTGGCGCCACCTAGCTGAATTTAATTTTGCAACATGTTCGATTTACCCACGGGAATATGTTTTGCTGCTGAAAAAAGTAGCCTATGTCACTCTACAGCCACCGAACTATCTCCATACAAAAAATCATGCCATGCCGACACTGTTGAGACGTGAAAGAAGGACAAACTTCTGCAACATATTCTATTTTCCCACGGGAATGAGAGGTTTTTCCGCGGAAAAAAGTAACCTATGTCTCTCTACAGCCACCGAACTATCCCCATACAAAAAATCACGCCATACCGACGCTCTGTTGTGATGTGAAAGAAGGACAAACAAACAAACACACTTTCACATTTATAATATTAAGTATCATTAAAAGCATTCATTTTAATTTATTTACTGGTTCACTATTGGCAAAATATCTGGTTTATTACTGGTACAGTCTGGTCCACCTTAGGCACATTGCAACTAGGCTTTAAGAAAATTGGAATAACCAACATGACTGCAAGGTAGATTAAGAGTATAGTATTTTTTTTGCAATGATTGTTGCTAGTTTTGAGTCACATCATCAAAATTGGTTTGAAAATGACACTTTATTGATTTGTTACTGGTGCACCCACCCTAAATAAGCGAAATACACACTAACTAACTCATCATAAGATCTCTAAAACTATACTCAATTGACTTGATATTTAGGATAGCTATTCATTTCGCAATGTAGACGCTTAATAACAACGGATTTTACGATATTCCAATTAAAAAATCTTGGTAGTTTACATCCGTGCGCCCAGCGAAACGAATGTGTATATTTATTATTGATATAATGCTCGTCTATAGATAATATCAATAATTGTTAATTTCTTACTAGAAATAAACGTAACTGTATCAAAAAATGTAAAATGAAACTCACTTGAAAAGATTTATTGTATTCGGCTAATGCTCTTTTTTTAAGTAGTGCAGCCATTTCTCCAGCGATTATTTAAGAACTAGTTATTAGAACTACACTTTAACTATTCTTATATTATTACTTAGGTTATAATGAAAATTAACATTCTATACCAAGGAGAATGTAATCAACACGAATATTTTATTTATTTCTGAAATATGCAAAGGAAAAGAATAATTTTACACTGTTTGATAAACTTTAAGTCAATTGTCAGTGGATTCTACCAATGGGTGAGTTTGGCAGAAAAAAGCGCTAGCAAGCGCTTACAAGCACTAAAATAGTTTTCGGCCAGGAAACGATTGCTACTTCAGTAGCGCTGACATAATCCGCCATTTTGCTTATTTAATTTGTTTGTTTTGAAGTAGAGTTTAAAAGTTGTTTTGTGCAATATTAGTTTTAAGTAATATAATGACATGAATAAACATATACATGTTATTAAAAATTCATGATTGGTAAGTTTTTAATATGAATACTTTACAAACATATATTTAAAATAGGTTAGGTTCCCCGGTTAAAACTAACATCGTGTCCTAGAGGAAAGTAGCTACTTACGATTTGACAGCACTTACCGCTTACGATCGCCATTTTGCTTACAAGCGCTTGCTAGCGCTTTTTTCTGCCAAACGCACCCATCGTGTCAGTATCAGCTGTCAGTGTCATGTTTTTAAATTTATTTAAGTGGCTTTACGGCTCTGTGTTCTAGCCCTTCTGAGCATCATTTTCGGAATCTTCATTTTTATATATTTCTTTTTCACAATATATTGATGGGTCACATTCCGAAGTTTTTGGGAGTTTTTTTAGCTGATTCACTTAAAATTGATGATGATGGTTAAATCATCTGTTTTTGAATGTTCCGGTACAACCAATCACAAACAATTGACGGTATCTTTTTAACTCGCGATTGGTATAAATTGTGAATTAGTCGAATATCGACCGAATCCCGAATGATCTGAATGAATTATTTAATTATTTTTAGTGTAGGGTACAACCTAGTATATATGCAGTAATCTATGGGTACACCAGTGCAATCAGTGCATGCATTCAGAAGAGTTGCCAAGTTAGGCAATATTTAGCTATTTAGGCTAGCTTTAAAGTAATCGGAGCAAACAAAATTGTGATTTTCGACTAGTCGCCATCTCAGAATGAAGCCGATCCGTAAAGGTTATTTATTCTATGAATCTTTTATTACAAAATAATAAAATGTAGATTTTGCAACTGGCTTCTTAAGCATTTCTTTTTAATTCCATTGTAGTCTACTTCGCTCACAATCCTTATTACTTCTGACGAATAATATAAAACTAAAGGCTACATAAGTTTAAATTAAAGCATTTCCTTAAAATATTTCTTATATCCGCAATAGAACCAGAGTGAACGACATAGTATAAACTGAATTGGCAATGGGCTAGCCATATAGCTCGAAGAACCGATAACCGATGGGGAAAAAGTTTCTCGAGTGACAGCCTCGTACCGGTAGGGGTAGTGTAGGGCAACCCCTCCCCCCTAGATGGAGTGACGACCTGGTAAGACATGCAGGAATTCGATGGATGTAGGTGGCTCACGACCGTGCTTTATGGCATTCTTTGAGGGAGGCCTATGTTCAGCAGTGGACGTTTGAAAAGCTGTAATAATGATGGAATTAAGCAAGACCGTCCAAAAACGAAACTTAGCATTTTGTTATCATTGATTCCAATAATTAGTTAAACTGAAGTTATATAACGTATGAAAAACGCATATCGCCACGTTATTTTTAACAGTCTTTACCGGCAGATGCGAGTATAGTTAGCGACAATTTATGAGCGAGAGGAGAATAAAGGCGACGCCATTTTCAAACACATTCTTTAACCGCACGGGTAGTAAAACTGTTTATCCAGAAATGCAGCAGTCTACATGCAAAGTAAGGATTATGGACTTGACAATCCACAGGTTAGTCATTTCGTTAGTTATTATTATAAAAAATAAAAATTTCTTTGCAACCTTCCGCTAAATAAATAAATGATGTATCTTACCTGGATTGAAGAGCACCTCCCGCCCTCCCTCAATTGCATACACTAACTCCGTCACCACTAGTCCAAGCACCACTATTCCAGGTAAGACACACTATCGACGATAATACGACACGTGTTTCGCCTCTACACGAGGCATCTTCAGGTAATGTAGACTCTACGGCGGCTGACCGTTAAGTGAGCGGCGAGCCGAAACAGCTGCTATTTATACACGCCGACACAATCGCTCCCCACCAAAGTAGCGAGTGACCGCGCCGTGCGATAACAAACCTGCTACTAATTATCATTATTGTTATGATTAATATTTTTAAATACTATTATTATTATTATTTTATTGATATTATTATAGTTATTTATTATTATTAACCTTAAAATTATTATTAAAGATTAGCCTTAAAGATTTTTAACAAAGGTGAATTAGAAACATTCATTCAGCAGTGCATAATTACCATTATTACTTTTTAAAATCTCCAACTGCTCCAGCACACACAATCGCAGCCCCTTATTACAAGTATGTAAGACTTCATAGGAATGGTCGCTAGCTAGATTGTGTCCAGTGTCCAAGAAATGTTAGCAAAATGGGATTTATCAGGATTACAATTTCTGTACGCGGTCAACTGCTCTTTATAGCGCGTCCCGAAATTGCGACCGGTCTGACCCACGTAAATGGCGTGGCATTCGTCACAAACAAGTTTATAAACACCCGATTTTTGACTAATATTTAACTTATATTTATTATTACAAATATTCCTAAGCGAATTGTTTGTTTTGAATGCCACGTTAACGTCGTTTTTCTTAAGAGTATTAGCTATTTTTTCCGATATGGAGCCTAAGTAGTTCAAACTACCCACATATCGCTAAGATTATTAATGAGACTTTTTAAAAAACCGTTAGAGGCTGCAATTTGATAAATTATATTAAGTTCTTTTAAATAATTTTCTTTACTTAATGGAACAGTGAACAGACGGTTAATGTAACAATAAAAAGCAGCTAATTTATGTTGCCATGGATGACACGATGACGCGGGGATTACCGTGTCGGAATGAGTTGGCTTTCGATAAATTTGAAAAACATGCAACGACTCTTTTCTTGTTATTGTTAAATCAAGGAAATTAAGGGAGCAATCTTGTACCAATTCAAGCTTAAATTTAATTTTTTCGTGGACTGTATTTATTTTATTAAGGAAAAATTCCAGTTGTCTCCTTGTGCCAGTCCAGAAAATAATTATGTCGTCTACATATCGATAATACAACCCTTCACTAGTCTACTGCTGAATATAAGTGTCCCCCAAGTAATGCCACAAAGCACGGTCCTGAGCCACCTGCATCCATCGACTTCCTGCATGTCTTACCAGGTCGTCACTCCATCTAGTGAGGGGTCGCTCTACACTACGCCTACCGGTACGAGGCTGCCACTCGAGAACCTTTCTTCCCCATCGGTTATCGGTTCTTCGAGCTATATGGCCGGCCCATTGCCACTTCAGCTTACTAATCCGTTAGGCTATGTCGGTCACTCAGGTGTTACTGTGGATATCCTCATTTCTGAATCTATCACGCAGAGAAACTTCGAGCATAGCCCTCTCCATAGCTTGCTGAGCGACCTTGAGCGTCCTCATACGGCCAGCAGTGAAGGACCACGTCTCAAATCCGTAAGTCATCACTGGCAACACGCACTGGTTGTACACTTTATTTTTCAGAGATTGAGGTATACCTGACGAGAAGATGTGTCGTAATTTCCCAAACGCTGCCCAGCCGAGTTGAATCCGTCGATTGACTTCTCGGTCGAAGTTGGACTTACCTAGTCGGACTATTTGTCCCAGGTAAAAGTACTCGTCAACAACTTTGAGCATAGTGCTCCCAACAACTACCGGCATAGGTTCGACATGGACATTAAACATGATCTTTGTTTTGTCCATGTTCATCTTAAGACCTATGCGTTGGGAGACACCATTGAGGTCACTGAGCATAGTGCTAAGGTCCTCCAGCGATTCTGCTATAAGGACTATATCGTCGGCAAATCGAAGGTGAGTGATGTACTCGCCATTGATGTTAATACCGTATCCTTTCCAGTCCAATAGCTTGAAAACGTCTTCCAATGCAGCGGTGAAGAGTTTCGGGGATATAACGTCACCCTGTCTTACACTTCTCTGCAGTTGGATAGGTTTCTAACTCTGGTTCTGCACTTGGATAGCCATCTTAGCCCTACTGTACAAACACTTCAGCACTTCGATATACCTACAGTCAACTTGGCACCGCTGAAGGGGCTGTAGCACCGCCCAAATTTCGACGGAATCAAAGGCTTTCTCATAGTCCACATATTCGGTCTTCTGTACAATCTGCCGCAGGGTATCTATGTGGTCTATGGTACTGAAGCCTTTTCGGAAACCGGCTTGTTCGGGAGGCTGGAAGTGTTCGAGTCTGCGTGCGAGACAATTCGTAATGACTCTCAAAAACAGCACGTAGACGTGGCTTAGAAGGGAAATCGGTCTGTAGTTCTTCAAGAGAGCGTTGTCACCTTTCTTAAAGAACAAGACCACCGAGCTTCTGCTCCACGCCTCCGGAGTAGTGCCACCATGGAGGACGGAATTGAAGAGCTTCTGAAGGACTTCAAATACCGGTGTTCCACCCGCTTTCAGACGCTCCGCTGTAAATCCATCCTCTCCTGGGGCCCTGCCGTTTTGAAGGTGTTGGAGAGCCATTCTAATCTCGCTCAGACTGACGTCCGGGATATCAAAATATATATATATATATATATAATTTATATATTTGACACTTAGACGACCCGGCCATCTCCTTCTAACCTAACCTGTCTGAGTCGGGATGCTCGAAGTCCTGAACTCGCTTCGCTCGATCTTATGGACGCCACGCACGGTCAGTTCAACTAATTATTCCAATTTTTGATTTTCTAGAGCAAAAAAACGAGCGGACCACGATAGTATTAAATTTGTATTGTATTTGTGTTTGTTTGTAGCCTAAGGTCTGACTTGGCTAGTTCTCATATACGAATTATCATGTT